TTGTAACCATCTACACTTATCTATGTTTTATGAAAAAATATCACCGAATGTAACCGAAAATGCGTTTTATTTGCCGGGGGCAACGTTTATTTATTTGCATCTATATTTTTTAAAAAATTCAGTCTGTATACTGAAGTATTTAGTACCGTGTGGAAGCACACCACTGAATGGCGAACGTGAGTCGAATGTAATTGCAAATGTTCGCGTAAAAAAGAAACTCCATTAAATCATTATTTATATCCACGCTCCCCTTTATTTTCATTCCGCTGCTTAGCAACTGAAAGTTCTAGCAGATAACATTTTACTGCTCCAGTGATTAATCCACGGTATCACAGTGAGAACTTTGACAACCGAAAACCTTTGGAGTTGTTTCGATGTAAGTCGAGTTCACTGACATAAAATTGACAATCTACGATCACAAAATCTCCCTTACTATAATAATTTTGAGTAACAATAGCTCGACTTGTCGGAAAATTGTAGTTCCTAAATTGATAAATGGCTCTTGATGTCATACCATAAAACAGGAACGAAGATTCGTTGACTCTTTTTCGTAGAAACACTTCACTTGGTGGTACATGTCTTCCAGTATTTTTTCATCGATCTCTTAAAAACACCTTTTTGTAAACGTTGTTGGAAAGTTTTCCAAACAATGCAGCCATGCCGTGCGATAATAGAACTGAAAATAACTGCGTACGACTGAAGTATGGACGAGAGATAATAATAAATAATAATAATAATAATTTTATTTATATAGCGCTAAAATCCAATAATTGTCCAAAGCGCTACCTAATTACAAAATAAAATATAAAAAATATAAAATATAAAATATCTACAATATACAATATAATTCAAATATAGCCTAAGTTATCTACTATATAAATCAAAAACATCTCAAAACAAAAGGAATCTCATAACCTATATGCTAACTTAAATAAAAAAGTTTTAAGGGATTGCTTAAAAGTTGCCACTGAAGCACATTTCCTAATCTCTAGAGGTAAATCGTTCCACAATTTAGGTCCTGCAATAGAGAAAGCTCTGTCTCCATATGTTTTCAATCTGCTTCTTGGAACCACTAAGTATTCTTTACATGAAGAACGCAATGACCTAGAGTATGTTTTAAAATTCAAAAGGTCAGAAATATAAGAAGGTGCAAGGCCATGAAGGGCCTTGTATACCAATAAAAGGACTTTAAGAGTTATTCTAAACTCAACTGGTAACCAGTGAAGATTAATTAAAATAGGAGTTATATGAACATGCCTCGGTGTCAATGTGACAACACGAGCTGCAGCATTCTGAACTGCCTGTAGTCTAGCTAACAGATACTTAGGAAGGCCATGTACGATACATCATCTTTTATCGAAAAAAAAACACTAGAATTTCAAAGAGTCCGTACAGTTCAATTCAAACCGTACAAGTATATTTTAAAAAGGGCTAGATATATAGCAACACATGTCCCGAAAAAAAACCAGACGTTTTAGCATCGGCAAACACAGAGAAATGTACGGTACATTCCCTTACTTACTCAATACATGTTCTTAAAATGCTCGCGACTATTTTTATTGTATTCATTTGTATCAAATGCTACGACAAAATTCCTAGTATAACTGGACCACGCAAGCTGTGCCACTGTTCCGCTTTACTGCTGCCCGCAGCCTGTGTTATGAACTGAACTCTAAAAGGGATACGGAACAGTGTTATCGTGCCTGAGGGTAGCAGGTTTATAGCAAACTTTAATCGTGCAAACACTTTAAGTTCACAGTGAAAGGTTAAAGAAATGACCAAAGAGAGTTCATGATTTCAATTAAAAATAAACAAGAATCAAAAAAGAGGTGATCGATTGGTGTTTCCGGGAGAACGAAAATCTGTCAAAATTATGCAAGTTTGTCGAGTTGAACAGAATCGAAAATATCTCCAAACGTCCGAGCAAATGTAATAGATACATTAACTTTTAATTTTATACAACATTTAAAATTGTAACGTCAAATTCAATACCTTTAACTTGTTCGATTCGCTAACGTTTTAATAGCCAAAAATTGTCGTTTAAGGTGTTCAATTTGTGGAGCAGCATAGCTCAGTGATCTTGTACTAACTTGGTGAGATTAAAATCAAATAATATTTTTCAATATTGATGGAAACACAATTTTTACTATTTATCGGCAAAACCTTCCTCTTAATATCTCGACCACCGAATCATAGCTACAAATCAAGCCATTAACAACACCAACAGCAAAGATAGGTCCAAGAAAAAAAGTACCACTGTCATATTTTTCAAGGTATTGCAATATTGAGGTTTATGAAGTTCATTGTATTCAGAAGGCACATTAAAGCAAAGTGAATTCGGCATTAATGATCTGAGAAAGTTTCTGTTAAAAGCTTTTCTAGAGTGCTACTTTGACACACGGGTTTTGTTGACAAGAGATCTTATCCTATAGTTACTTTTTTTACGACATGATTTATCCAAAAGTAGGCGACAAGAAGATAAATTTCTACGGCAAAATTCACCAGCTTAGCTCTAAACGGATGTTTTAAACACCTGTCATACACTGCGAATGTAGTGATCCATCGTGGCCTTATAAGAATCTACGAAACCTACGCCCACAAATATTGAACACGTACAGTTTTGTCCACATTTTATCTAATACAGTTGTAATAAAACTGTCTCAAACTGAGCGGTACTTACCGACTATCCGAGGGTCCTCGCGGCAAGTCCAAAATTCTGCGAATGCAAAAGATTACGCGTTTTAAATGAAATGAGCTGCCTCAAACAATGAGACACTCCCAACTACCAATGGTAATTTTGCTCTCGAATCAAGCCAATAAAGGCAATGTTTACCTCTGGCGTTCTCTAAGACGCAAAGCCTCCATAGTATTCTAGCAGCTTCGAGAAAGACTCGCTCCATTCTGAAACTCTCCTTTAGAAAATCCTTCATTGTTACGATCCCTAAAGATCAACGATTTTGTGGCCATGTTGACCACGCGAGGCGAAAACAAGAATTAAATAATGAACAATTTTCAGACGAGCTGAATATAAAGCGCGACAGGTGAAAAGCTGGACAGTCCCCGCAAAATTTATGCCAAATTCTGTTAGCATCTTCTTCATTTGCGACACTCTTTAATCTGATTGGCTAAATGCCTGATGTTTTATTGTATTCAGATACAACAACTTATGACTATGTCTGCGTGAGTTCCTATATGGTTTTTTAAACTTGGCTTCATTTTTAAGTTTAAATATTATAAATCTGTCGACAAAAAATAGATTTCTCGTTATCTTTTGGGTTCTTAAAACCAATAGATTAACTTAATTTGGTATATATGAGTTTACTTCCTATTTTGAAAACAAAAATTGAATTTTGGAATAAAGATCTGATTGGACGGAACAGTAATGACAAAGCCTAAGTTGTTTTTGCAACAGTGTTATTCATCTTGTGGCTTACAACTAATAAACTTTAGTGTCCATCACCATTACCAAGAATCGCAGATGGAATCCACTAGAAACGCCAGCATGCATGCCAAACAGAGAATCGTAACGGACATTCGGCTGCTTTGGTCTCTTTTAGATGACAGGTTCATTGAACGTTGCTCAAACTATCATCAAAGTCATCAAATAAGTCAAGTCGATTAGGCACAATCACGGTAAGAAAACGTCTTAAGGATACTACATTTTGCAGCAAATAAATGTGCGTCGAAACAATACAACTGGATCGGTTTAGCCGCGGAATTCCCAAGTACGCATTAAAATTTACGGGGATGTTAAGCACTTTTTTTAACTTGATAAATTAACATTTGGCTGGATTTTCGCTTAAATATCGATGGCACGCAAAAACTTCCGCATATTAAATTACTAGCCAAGTTTGTTCCTTTATAGCTTTCTTAGGTGACGTCTTGCAATCCTGACCGGCCAAGCAAATAGTGTTTTTGTAGCAGGCTTCTTCAATTTTGTCTATCAGCGAAAAAACTAGTGGCTAAGAAATGTCCTAAAAATAGAATACCTGGGAAAGGACTGCAATAGCCAAGCGGAAGTCAAAGCAAATTTTCGTAACATCTTGCCAAATTTTTCTTCATTTTGTTGGTCAATACTGAATGAATAGTTTTATCGGTCAAGTCAAATGTTGACAAGTTAAGGGATGAGCCAGCCAGCACTGGTCGCAGTAAAAAACAAAATGTAGAAATATTGTAAAGATGTAGCTAAGTATAAAAAGCTACTAAAGCAATTTCTTAACCTGCGATCAGGCGTTCTTCTTTAGCGCGAAAGTCGAATTATTAAACAAAAACTCTCTATTTATTACAACAATACAATGGGCAACATCAAGCACACCGTGAACTGGGAGTAACCGCTCGATGATGTGGGGTTGGGGCAGAGTAGGAAAATAGAGCTTTCCAACTAAAGGAACAGAAAATTCAGTCCCTGCAGCAGTGAAACCTGAATTAGGAGGCTGTAGCTTGCTAGTGTCCACTGTATTAAGTAGCTACAGTCTCAGACAAAAATAGTTTGGACACTTCCACTGAACACTGAATTTTTTACTTGTGGTCCATCTCCTAGTCCACCTAATGTTGTTTATTGCACTTAACTCACCAAATCTTGAACACCAACATTGGGAGAGTAAGATGACAGTAAAGTGTCCCAATAATTTTGACTGAGACTGTAGCTTGCTAGGGTCTATTAAAATTGGCAAAAATTTGGGGATTTACTGAGAATTGTGTCTGCTCAATAGAGGATGTCTGCTTAATCTGAGATTCCTTTATTAGTTCTTTCACTTAGCTTGTATTTTTAGCACAGCATTTTACGTCAGGAAACTTTGCTACAGTTGCAGTGACTTTTATGAACCTGAATGCTGAAATTTAAGATGTGATATTTTGTCTCTTTAGTGTTCTAAACCCCCAGTCACATATTTTAATGACGGAGGGGTCCGACAGAGGTTCATATTTTATACCCAAAAAAATCCCAACTTCAGAATTTGTCTACCCAAAAAAATCCCTCAGTGTTTTTGCGTCAGCAAATTTTATTATTTATCCTCTGAAATAACTGAGTCAGCGACACATCTTTGTATGGGTTCATAAACCACTTTGGCAAGCTTGATGTTATGTTACCAATATTTTCAAGGGAACTTCTTCATACAACAAAAATGAGATCACAACTGACTGGACCTCTTAGCTCTTGCTGGAACTCAACAGCATTGACTCCCAGTTTGAGTTTAGTTTACAAAATCAGTTTTCCTTGCCTTTATTTTTACATAGCAACGTGATCATTTGATAATAGATATATATCAGCGGGTAAACATCTAATTCATAAAATGTTTACTTTGTATACAGTGTTTCCATTGTGGTCTTGATGACTGGCTTGAAAGGCCTTGAATTACGTGACCTATTGAATATTTCTCTCTGGATTAGATGCGCGTGGAGTGCCGCTAATTACTTTCCAAATAGATTACAATCTCAGAAATATCCCGCAATATCACACAAGCAGTAAATTGCACTTATGTTATTGTTGATTTGAGCTGATGAAAAATACAATACCCAAAAAAATCCCTGCGTTGTTTTCGCGACCCCAAAAAATCCCGGCGTCTTTCATAGACCCAAAAAAATCCCTTTTGGCCAGAATATCAGACCCAAAAAAATCCTTCGGACCCCCCCATTAAAATATGTGAGTGGGGCCCCTGGGTCTAAACCCTTTCAATACAAGACATCAATGTCAGTTAAAATCACCATTTTGTATATTAGCAGTTAGTAATGAAAGAAAGAACTTGATAAATGTTCCTCACCGAAAAAATATCAACTTTTATTTACTTGTTGTAGAACATAATGACTATGGGCTACGGGCCAAAAAAAGCAGCAAGCACACTGAGTCCAAGTAACTAGCTTTCCTCTTGTAACAGATCCAAACCGCATTTTTCCAACTGCCAATGATGACAACTTCAATGATGATGACTTTACATTAAGATGCCTTCTGTTTTTCCCATTGTGCAGGTTTCATTGTTTTTATAGTAAGTGCATGAATGTCTTTTAACTCCTCTGCTAAGCAATCATTCACCATTCTGTGCTGTGCAAGAAGTGGCTTTCCTTCAAATTTGTCAGATACAATGACTACAGAGAACTTTCCACCACAGCCATCTGAGAGATCAGCAACTTCCTAATGACAGAGAAAAATGAAATAAGGTTTTCAAGTCCCACAAATTACTCAGTAAAACCTAAAAACCTAATAATGGTAATTTTGACCTTTTAATGATGATTGTTAGTTTTCTTTTTTGATTTCTTATATTTTATTTTTGAATGTGCTTGTGGATGGTCCCAAGCTTCCATTTTCAGAGGAAAACATGGTCTAATATATAGAGATAAATCGGCCCATGAAAACATTGTGACATAAACCATCTGAGGGGGTTGCCTGTTGCCGGTGATCGATATTCTTGACCATGCTTGTCACAAATGCCTTTTGCTTCGGCTTTTAGCCATCAAAACCTGGCTTATTTCCCTGAAATCTACCTTTGTGTTAAACGGAGGCAAACCCACAATGAACTTTGTTCCTCCCCAGCCCCCAATGGATTAAAGACTGTTTTCAACTGGTCACCCATCCAATTCCTAATCCCATCTGTCAGGGCTTAACTAAAATGGCACTATTTGCAGCAGGATTCATGTTAATGAGGAGAGAGGGCCGCTCTTCACCAGTCTATCTATTCAGCTCTGTAAATTTTGGCAAAACTGACTATATCTGAGACTATAAAATGAATTATGATGGCATATAAGAATAACCTTAAATCACAGCAATACATACTCTACTTTCTTAACAGAAAACAAGTATCAGAGAAATCCAGTTATTTTTAAGTTCTAAATTACAAAGTGCTGGAAAATTAGGTCATTTTAAGTTGCAAAATGAGAATTTTATAAAAATCCAGACGTAACTAATCGGTGACATCAATGACATCAATAAAACCAATGAGTAATCAGTAGGCAAGCAGTGGATAATCAGTTGATTAGTCATTGATTATATCCGATATTCATAATTATTGAGTGATCAATGAATAATCGATACGCCACAAAATTTTCAGTCATCGATTAGTCATTGATTAATTATCAGTATAATCTCATGGGTACGCAAACCATACCAAATCAAAAATAAAGAAACAAAGACTTCTCTGACATAAATATCACAATACAAGCTTATTTATGCATGATCTTTTTACCTGGTAGGCACTCTGAGGTGGCTGCGTTTCTCAACAAAGACACAGACTCTAATAGCCCAGAGAGTAAGACAGATGACTCGACCTTCTGAACATCTTATTTTTGATATTTCAGTTACTGTCCAATAAATAAATTTGATTTGCCATTCTGTTTTTGTCATGGCCCATAATCTGGTTTTCTACATGCAAGTTCAATTCCTATTTGGCTGTTATTATAATCAAGAACTATCGACATAAATTTTTATCACCGAAAATAAGTTAAGAAAAAAAATTGCTAGAAATTGTATGAGATGTGTAATCAATGACTAATCGATGGACAATCATTAGATAATCGATGAGTAATCGAACGCATCAATTACTCATCGATTACATTGATCAATGAGCATCCGATAGGCCACAAAAATTTTGACCATTGACTAGTCATCGATTACCCATCGATTATAGCAAATAATCAATGACTAATCAGTTGACTCTTCAATGATTACTCATCGATTACTCATTGATGCCATTCATGTCTGGAAAAATATTTTTCAACCATTCGACACAATGCGAAATCTCGATCTTTCTTAAATTAGCTTATCAGCGATTACGAAAGGACATACGTACTACAAACTAGGCAACACTTTTTCTCTTACCAAATGAATGGGGTTGAACTCCTTTTGGAGCTTTTCTTGAAGATATTCACTCGTATATTGGCTCATTGTCAAAATACTATCATCACGTTTTGATCTTTCTCCTTCGGTGGAAATAACGGCTAGTACCTGGTCTAAACCGCACTATTGTGTCCCAAACTTTTTCTTTCCTGTCTTGTCTCGGAAGACCAATCCAAGCAAACGGAAATACATAAAAGACGAGCTTGTTTTATTTCCAGCATTGCCAAGAAATTTGAATTTTGTCTCATTTGACGTTTTCAAATCACAACACTTTTCCACAACATCAAAAAAGTGTGCTCAGGAAATAATATGTAGTCTTACATGAAAAAAAAAAAACGTGATTTCAGCTGATAAGTTTGTTCGAGGGCGCATACGTGTTTGTGATTGAGGAGAGAGAAGGCATCGATTGTTGAAGTTGGTGAAAATGGGGAAGAAACAGCATCAGAAAGACAAACTGTAAGTTAGAACCATTAAGGAAACTCGGGAACTATATTTCAATAGGAAATTAAAAGAAATATTTGGTTTTTATCTCAAGATACTTGACTAACAAGGAGTGGAAAGAGGAGTGGGGAGGAAAAAAGGCTGGTGAGTTTTCCGTATGTTCTAATTCTTTTTTGAAATTTCTGCACCACAAAACATGGCACTATCTTTAATGCACTTCATTAACTACGAGCAATACTTAAAGTTATAGAAAATTGCGTTTGATTTGGTTGTGTTCTTCTCATTCTTAGATGATAATTTGTAGAAAATGATGTGAAACGAGGTACTCCCTACCTCAATTCACTTCCATTCAATCTCCCCTAAACAACAACAACAAAAGATTAACAGCTAGAGGTGATAAGGCTATCAGCAAGTTTATTTGATGGCCATGTTGTAATTGAAGGTGACATATGACATGAAATGTGACCACTTACATTTACACTTACATAGAATTATCTTCACTCACATTAGACTCCTAAAAAGTAAAAAAAAACCTATGTACTGAAGCTGTCAGTTGGGCTTACTTTTAGCTCTTTAGATTTCTGCAGCACGGCTTTATATCCCAGCCTCATTTACAACTTCTGCACAAGTGTTAATACTGCTCAATAAACCATAGGGAGTTTAAGATACCGGTACATTCATCACTATAGGGACAGCAAAGGGAATGTCAAAAAAGCAATAGGTTTAATTAGCAAAACAACAACTCTGCATCAGCATCACACTTTAAGATATATTTCTTTGCTTTCACTGGACAATTATGACGTGAAATTGACTTATGTCTTGCTTTATGGAGAATGTAAACAAACTATGACAAAGTTTTCTTTTTTTCTTTTTCCTGAACTTGATGGATATGGTTCTTAGAAATTCAAATAGAGAGGAGTTCTCCCACCCTAGAGCACTGTACAGGTGACAAAGTGTGCAAGTTGAAATAATAGCGATGAAAATCGAAAGAGCTTGAATTCACAATAATTATTTTGCTTACTATTAAATTCAGCAAACATTGATTGACAAATTCAAAATTTGGGATTGTATCATTCAACATTGATAACAGCAAATTCTTGCCCTGTTGTAATGATCTTGATCTCATAATTCAATACTTAGATGTTCCTCAGAAAGCAAGTTTTAGAAGATTACCATTTCATTGCTGCAGGTTTGTTTGCTTGATCTATGAGAATTTCTGTAGGAGTGTATGGTAGAACCTGAACATAACAAACCATTTACAGTGTAATTATAATGAAGTCCTCAGTAAATAATGAATAAAATTGGCACAGGGAAACAAAGGAAACTGAGAATCAAACCTGGAGGAATACTGTTGGGGTTCAAACATTTTATTCTGTGTTGTTTTTTTCCTGCTTTTAGTCTTTCTCTGCAGCCATTTGAGCACCCTCTCTGCACTAAGGATGGAATCATATTTGATTTATTGTAAGTGTTTCATGTTAGCACAATCTAGCTTCCACACACAAATAATTCACCGTTTTTGTTTTCTACATGTTAAATCTTCTTTTCAGCTACGGTAGTATTCACCCTGTGAGCAGGGGGCGGAATGTAGCTCTTTACAAGGCCTCACAGGATTGGCTGTGAAAACAATAGACATAGAAATATAACAATGACTCTACCCCTAAAACAATGGAGCTGCATGTTATGGAGAACCATTATGAAATTAGAGGTTTTTAGGAGCTGTGTACTATCCCATTAGCAGAGCTTCCTTTTGTCTTCCTGTCTATCAAGGAGGAGAAAAGGAGCAAAGCTGTGCTCTAAGGAAAATTGAAGGGAGCCCAGTGATCTGAACCTGTAAAATCTAGGGTGTCCAGCATATAGATTCTATGAAAAAACTGAGATTTATTAGTCGTTCGAGAGCAGAAGTTAGGTGCCAGGAGGTCCTTGGGCTCTGGTAGAGCACAGCCCTGAGGAGGCTCTCAGTCTACCTGAGTCATGTCAAGCCTTTGTAGTTACCACAGCCTGAACTTCAGGATTAGTCAATCTTGTTTTCTCTGATCTAACTGGTTGCTCAAGTGCAAGCATCCATTTATTGATGAACAAGTGGTCATATATGTAACTAAGCCCACCATACCAAGCAAATGGGTATAAGGCCTGGGTTTGAAACTGTATCATGGAAACATGCAGCACATGCCTAGCAGAGGTCTTACTTGATATATGCAGAGTCTTTCTCAAGTACACCAAAATTATTGTTATCAAGCAAGTGAAAGAAAGGCTGTCACTGGCAGTGTGCACAGTATCCTGTTATTGCAAAGATTTTCTTTCTAAAGAAAAAATGCAACTAATTTTCATCCACTAGCACGTGCATTGATTTTGCCTTTAGTTAACAAATGACAGACAGTAGAAACCTAATATCTAAGTATTTAAGTGAAGAAACTGTCCAAGAAAAATACTTGGTGTGTTTTTCTAACACTTCTGTAGAATGATCTGTGCATGAATTATGATGCATGTTTGCAAGTATATCATTTTTTTCCTTTGTCAGAAACATTGTTCCCTATCTCAAGAAATATGCCAAAAATCCAGTAACAGGAGAGGTTTGTACTGAAATATATAGCATCCAGTTAAACGCCTACTAAAGGCCACCCTTCTCGTAATGGCCACATTTTTTAGCTCCTGAGATGCTTCATAACAGCCAACTCTCCACAGCAGCAACAGCCACTCAAGTACATCCCAACTACTAACAAAAGTTACATGTACAGTGTAAGCTCTCCATAGCAGCCATTTATCATGCTCTACTCACTTTGTTTTGTTAACATCATTGTTCTGAACCATTTGTTTCTGTGTTTGGCATTTGTTTTACAATCACAGAGTGTGCTAGACTTTATTCTTCTTAGAGCTTGTATTAAGAGGACCTCTATTAAACGGTCACCCTCAATTAAGCAGTCACTTACTAAAGTCCCGGAAATCATTTCCCTTAATAAATAGTGTAAAACTGACCTGAATTAAGCAGTCACCTGTATTAAGTGGTCACGGGCACCTTTTGCGAGGTCCTAAAGAGTTATTTGAGAAGAAGTACCAGACTAGTGCAACTGTGTATGGTGTCAAGTGGTCTCTAACATTTTTCTTTTGGCCCAAGAAGAGTTAAAAACATGTGGAGGTCAAATTGTCGTGGGATAGATATTTCACTCTTTGACTGCCTTCATTTTCTTGAATAACTCTCATGTTTGTCAAACTTGTATTAAATGGTCATCCTGTATTAAACAGTCAGTAAGCCATTCCCAAAGGTTGACCACTTAATACAGATCTGACTGTACACTGATCATCAGTACTATTTTTTTTTCATTATTCTTTACAGCCTCTTCAGGCCAAAGAGCTGATAAAACTGAATTTTCATAAAAATGCAGAAGGTAAGTCAATGGAAGTTGGAATTTTGAGTACTTGTAGTAAATATAGTATACTAAACCATATTTTTTATTTTGAGGTGAAGGAAAAAGTATTAAAATGAAATTATTAGGGGAGTTTGTAGAAGAACGTAAATAATTATGAGTGCTAAAAATTCCAACTTCAATTATTACACTCAGCCCTAATCCTGTTGTGTATGCTGTTGGTCAATTTGTCCTTGATTTAAATTCATTTTCTTTTATTTCAAATTTATTATTGACACTACCATGCCTAAAACAGAGAAAAAAAATTAAATCAAGGATAAAAATGAACGTTAACTTACATGAACACTGTGAGCCTCCCTTGAACATTAAATTTCTGGGTGCCGCAGTACATGAGGAGATCCGTGGAGAAACCTGGGGTTAAGGATCCTTTACTTTTGGCTGGGATTGGGGACTGGGTTTATTTTATTAGTGGTACACAGTCTATAGTACTGTAATTGGATGGTTACATGTCCAAAGATTTCCATGAGCAATAACACACATAAATGAGGAAGCTAAGACATCAGGTTGACATTTACAAGAAACTGATTTTTACTTTAAGGTTATATATTTTTCCTGTATTTGCTTGTATATCAACTGGTAATGTGACCATAGCTTGTTTGTGACAGTCAGTGTTCAGTGGCATTTTTCACCTAATATGTTATCAATGCATCTGGGTATGACCCCTGCTGGTTTAAGCGGTTTTCAGTAACAGAGCAAACTAGAGTAGGTGGTGAAACACAAATTTTGTTTTATCGACTGACTTGACAAATCTAAGAAGAATAAATGGCTGACGTTTCAAGAGCTAGCCCTCCAGCAGTGCATTTTAAACACTAACCCCATGTTAGAGAGTTACGTTGTATGAGCAGTAGCCCTCAAATTTTTTCTCTCTAACAAAGGGCAAGGGCTTGAATCATAAACACCAGTCATGCCATCAGCTAAGTTGTTTAAACAGAAATTTTGTGTTTTTCTTTAGAAACTTAACCCTTCATTCAAAAAGTGGGTGGTATAATGTTGTGCAGTTGACAACTGCACCATCTGTTGATAACACTTGCTCCTTGATTTTCAGGCCAGTTTCACTGTCCAGTAACATTCAAAGTCTTCAATAATAACTCACACATTGTTGCAATAAAACCAACGGGAAATGTGTTCTCTTATGAAGTAAGTTTTTGAAAAGATTCTCTTTGAACTCTTTATGAACTGAGTAAATTTCAATATTCAGGCAAACTCATTTCTCTTAATTAATTTTTTATTTATCATCATTTAAATGCCTGCTTGTTTTCAATTGCAGGCAGTAGAGCAATTAAACATTAAGCCAAAGAACTTCAAAGACCTTCTGACAGATGAACCTTTTACAAGAAAAGATATAATAACAATACAGGTTTGTGTTAAAGTCACATACATGTAGTTGTCATTTTAGACTGCAAAAAATGGAGGTATATTTTTTGAGTCAGTGAGCGCTCGATTTTTCTAGTATATACTTCACGTCAGAATTCTATGATTGCATTGAACTTATTACAGAGCACTCTTTATACATGTAACTCATTTTCACAGCCTTCTTTCGCAGGCATTTTCTGACCTGTCTGCCTTGTCCCATATGCCCCCTACCTTACCTCTTGTAACCCATGGACCACAACCTGAGCAAGATTTAGTACTTACAGCTGTACATGCCCCTTAAAAATCCATATACTGAAAGCTATTCTTTTTTTGCACATGTACACTGTACACTTGGTTGTAATTATTCTACCTGCAGCTACTGGTAGCTTCCCATAAGGTAACTGTAGGCACTTAAGCCTGAAGTTCAAAAGCCAACTGATGATTGCGTTTTTCACTGCCATCAATCATCTTAAGAGACCTCTTAGGAAACAAAACTTTACTTTAACTGGCTCAAAAGGTCATTGTTAATGAATTGTGATTGGTGGATTTCGATCCATTTTGTGTGTTTCTGTGTTTCAAGGTTCTTTTCTTGTGATCATAATTATGATTGACAACATTGAAAAACGCAATTGTGAGGGCAGCTTTTGAGCTTTAGAGTTCGCATGTTTGTGAATAGTGCAGTAATAAAAATGATAATAACAATTTAGAGATAGCACATCCACTTAGCGGTTCTTCATCTACCTTATTGGTGGTCAAATTGGAATTTGGAAAACCAGAGTACCCCGAGGAAAACCTTGCAGAGCAAGGGAGAGAACCAACAACAAACTCAACCCAAATATGGCATCAAAAGCCAGGATTTGAACCCGGGCCACATTGGTGGGAGGCAAGTGCTCTCACAACTGCACCACCCTTACTCTCCAAATTTTTTTTTTTTTATCTTTGTCTCTCCTTAACAGGATCCAACAAGTCTTGATAAGTTTAATCTGTCAAATTTCCATCATCTAAAGAACAATCTGAAAGTAGTAAATGAAGGTTGGTTAAATCATGATTTCAATAGTAATTTTATTTTTGTTTGTCTTCTATTACATGCATTTCTTTGTACAGGTTTAGTGAGTGAAGGCAATGTGGCTAGAAAGTCCTGAGTATGAGTGTTACCGTTGGGAGGTTTTTTGGAAGGAAAAACAAAATATTAGTGAGTTTACGCAACAGGATGGCACAAAGAAAAGGACAGCAAAACGCTTGAGTGTGACAAAAGTGAAAGGGCTATTACTTGCATGTTTAGTCAGGAATTCACTTAACATGCATATTTTTGGCTCCTCTACAAAAAGATGTGTTCAAAGGAATGTGAAGTTTGGCGGAAGGTTTTTTCAAACAAAATTTGCCATCATCTTTCTTTGTCTGTTCTGTTGCATAAGTTCACTATTATCAGGTCAATGTAGACCTCAAAACCACACATGATGATGTTGACCATAGCTTGATAGCCTCTGCAACAACTGTATCTTTCAATAATTGAAATTATTGAATTTACTGGACCCTAAGTCAGGTACATTTGCATCACAGCATTGCAATACTACTTAGATATACCTGCCAAAGTAAGAATAATCATACAATAAATACTTTATAGCATGTTTTTACATGTTTCTGCCATATTATTTATTATTTTGATTGTATTTTCTTTTTCAGAGGAGGAAAAAGCTAAGAAAGACCCAAAGTATTATTTGAACAGAGCTAACAAAGACACATTAGGTATTTTAAGTGAGCTGGAGAAAACCTACAAAGAACCAGTAAGTTATGACTGTATTTTGTATTTTTTAATAAGAAATTAATCTTTAATGATAATGAGGAGGCCTGAATATCACAAAAATGGGGTCGCGGTAGCTTAAGGGAGGTGGTCATTTACTAGAGGTTTCAACTGTAAGGTTTTGACTGGGAATACTTAGGTGTTTTGGATAGGTGGTCGCTTATGGGAGGTGGTATCCTATGAGAGGTGGCGCAATAAATTTATCAGAGGTTCAACTGCATAATGTCACCGTGGTCAAAAAGAGGTAGAATGAAAGTAATGTCAGTACTTAATAGTAGGCAGGACTTGATGCACCACAAGAGACAGTTTTTTTTAAGGCAGTCATTAATATTAATTTGCACTTATCACCCAATGATCTTTTTTGAGTCTTTCTTTATCTTTATCGAGGAAATAATCCTAGTGGTAGACAGGGCTTGATGTACTATGAAAGATCTAGTTTCATATTTATCTTATGATCCACATAATTAAAAGAAAAAAAATGAAAGATGCAGCTGTATAATTCACATTTGTGACCAAATGATCACTTTTTTTTATTCCCTCTCGGTCTTGTCATTTATTTGTAGGAGAAAAAGAGCACTGAGAAAGCTGAGTCACTCACAGAAAGGAATGCTGTAAGTTGTCTCTCTAACATCAGTTATATCATGTATCTTAAAATAGTCAAACCTTTCCTTACGATGATAATATCATCACAAGGAAAGGTTTATCTTCAGTTAGTAAAATCCAACTAGTGCTCTATTATCAATGCTGCATTCTGATTGGTTGAGCTACTACTAGGCTATATGTTATAGCCTACTAGTAGTGAAAAGAGTCGGATTTTTGGCCACAAAAAAATGATTAAAGTCTTGCTTTAAGTTGTTTTGTCTCGATATTTTTGAGCAACCAGTTGGATTTTACTAGAATAATTATTATTGCTCGCATCCTCATGCCCTCTGAGTCAATAGCCCATAATTACTGTTAATAATACATTATACCTCACTTTTTAATACAAGTTGTTGGTTTGGTTCCATTGATGCCAAACTTCATACAATCCCTTCTTCTATAACATGGATACCTCCTGAATGACAAAATGTGGACACTTGACACTAATCTTTTGATGCCTTTTTTATAAGAAGGGTTGATTGTACTATGATATTACAGAAGACACGATAGCCACCCCCCATAAAAGGATAACTCCTTGGAAAATTTCAGTTATGTTTTAACGTAAAACACTGCCTTTAGGGACCCTTTTTCCCACTGAAATTTCCAATGATCTGTCTTGAGAAGAATATAGCTATTTTGTGGAACCACACATCACTTCTTTACTTCATAGCTTGTTTTGACAAGTGTTGAGATGAAGTTCTGGTTGTTTTCTTCATCAATACAGGCTCATTATTCTACTGGAGCTGTTGCTAGTTCATTTACATCCACAGCTCAAGTTCCTGTTACACAACAGGAGGCAGGTATGAAAAGCCCTGCATTGGAACAACTACAGCAACTGTATATGTTGTAGTTAACTTTCTATCTCAAGTAATTTTTTTGTTGTTGTTTTAACTTCATTAGCATACATCACCATACCCAAAAACAAAAGAAAAACAAAATTAATATTACCTGAGATAAGAAATTGACTACAACATATATATATTTAGGTGTTGATTGCTAGGAATCAAAATAATGCTTCTTGATTCCTGTCTCTTTCAATTTTTTGAAATCAAAATTCTTTTAGTTTAAATCTGTCCACCAGATACTGATGTTCAATAGGTGAGAGGACCAAACTGCAATGGAGTTCCCCTTGTTACCCCTTTGTTCCCAGCAAGAACTCTTCCATTGATGTTATTAAATGAAATTAATCCATTTAATATCAATTTTGTGGTTTGTTCTTTTAAGCTGTTATTGATCAGGATGTTGTCAGGTACCGAGAAGTTAAGAAGAAAGGTTAGTAGTCTTTCACTTTGTGCAGAAGTGTTGCACAGTTATGTAACTTCCTTGTATAACCCTAAGTTATACAAATATTTTCTGAAAAGCAAAGAAATGCAAGGTATTATGTTTGAAATAATACTTTTTGAGCAAAAATGTGCACAGAAAACAGTCCACATAATTGGGGTAATGTGATACTCTGGACCCAGTTCCTGAAGGGCCGTCTTAGCACTAATCAAGGATTCAAATTGTGTTCCACTTTCTGTATTTACCTACCTATGCGTTGCTTAGAGTAACATTTTGTATTGTCATTACTGTATCTCAGAGTAAAGGCTCAACAGCATTTTGTAAGCTTAAGTTCCAAGTTCTTAGACAAGAAAACCATGCTTAAAGTTTGGATTAATCTTAGATTAAACTTAACCATCTCTCGATGAAGCGGCCCCAGTACTTTAAAGCACTGTAATGTTCTGCAAAACAAGAAAAGGATACAAAATTGGTTTTGCTGTTTGTGAAATGATTTCATTTAAAGTCCTTTTGAGGAGAGGCTAGGCAACAGGAATTTTGATTGGCACATTTCACTTGCCAGGCCTAAAAATTATGTTTCCTGTTCAGGTTATGTGAGATTGCAAACCAGTCATGGTGACTTGAACTTGGAGCTTCACTGCGAAATGGTAAGAGATTAGTGTCACACTTCTATATTATATTACTGGCTCTGCAAGCGGGCAAGGTGACATGAATTTTTCTGTTCTGATTATCTACATGCACAAAGTTGCCTCAGGAATGCCTTCTACTATTTAAGTAGAGCATTAATTTCCCCAACCGCAATTTCCATCATTTTGGCTCCAAATTCTTGATACTTTTTTGATGTTCTTGACACCTAAGAAAGGTGAGAATTTTATCTGGGTGGAGATCTGCCAGAATCAGTGAAACTGTAAAGAAGCTTCAAAGTGGTGCTAGATATCTTTGCTTGACCCCCTTCGTAGGTTTAGGGAAAGTACCACGTGACAAACAAAGTTCATGGTAATTTCCAAGACCTTAATTTCATGGAGCATTAATTTCCTGTAATAAGGTAAATATCTCTATTGGTCATGATTAGATTAAATCCTTTACCAAGCTTGCTCCATTCAGTAGCTAGATATTGTAAAAAAAATCCTCATCAACCATTGGAATTCGGTCTAGATAGAGGCTCCTTACAACAAACTACAGTCATTTGACAATGTTGACTGATACCTTGGTTGACACCCCTATGAGACCCAAGATCCACAAAGTGTTGGTAAAACTGTTTAAAAGATGTGTTGGCAGTTTTTATTTGCCTTGTCTAGGTTTCCAAAACATGTGAGAATTTTATCAAGCTTTGCAGTAGAGGCTACTATGACAACACAAGTGAGTCAGTTTAAAATGTAATGATTTTATCATTACTACTATTAGCAGTAGTAGTAGTAGTAGTAGTGGTAGTAGTAGTAGTATTTGATTTGTTTGTTTTTAAAGAACACTGCTTATGATTTGATCTAATATTGTTTTCTTTTTTTCTGTTTTAGTTTTTCATCGATCCATCAGGAATTTTATGGTAAGTACAGAGCTAAGTCACATACATGTAGTTGATCAACGAGTAATGGGTCTTGAGCAAAGGCGCCAGTAAAGTTAGAGCATTTGATTGAGAATACATGGAATAAATGCTAAAACTCATTTGTTTTCTCCTTCATTGCTTGATAAAAATCCTGAAATTTGGTGGATTTCAATAGGTAAGGTGAATGTAGCACTCCAATGGTCCAAAAATTTGGGATTGAAGAGATTTGTCACAAATATCTGCCTATCAATTGAACACACCCTTAAGTGATGATTGGGTATACCCGGGTTGCAGATGTAATCTAGCCCTGATTAGTAACATGTGTAAGCAACAGCGATATTTTCGTTCTGGTTCCCCAATGGACTCAACAATTATCGGAAATGTGTTTTGAGTTTCCCTTCAACCTGATTGGCAAATTGACTGTCACTTTTTCAACAGGCCAATCATGGTGTGTACTCAAATCATGGTACACAGGTGGAGGCCAAGAACAAATATTTCAGTGCCGTTTAGTTCTGTCTGTGGTGCCAGTTAGATTGGTTGGTCCCCAGTCATCACTTGCCCTTGTGACTTACTTAACCTGTCTGTCATCAGTGAATCTCAAAAAGAGAACTTGTATTAAGGCTTTTAGCTACTAGCCTATTTAAAGGGAGTGGGAATGTGCATTCTTGTACAATCTGTGAAATTGCATTCCTGGTAGGTGGCCCTTGAAAATCGAATATGGTCCTTGAAAAGTCCTTTAAAGTGGTTGCAATTTTTTGTATGAACCTGTGAAGTCTAATTTCCCTTTACTCACAGTTTTGAATATAGTATAGAGTTGAACACAGTATATTTACCCTTATTCAATGTTTCCTGTCTGTTGTCGGTAGATTCAAGGTGGGGATCCAACTGGTACTGGAACAGGTACAGATAAAGAATTTCCCGGATTTATGCATTGTGGGATGAGTTTGCAATAATACGTTAAGAGTGCATGTATTATATGGAAATAGTAATGTTGTTGTTGCACCTGTTCCGGTTTGTTTGTAAGCAGCCCACCCACACTGGCCTGCTTTTATTCTAGAAAGATATCAGCGCTGGAGATTGCAGCTGTTGTCTTTTAGAATTCCACTGTCACCCATCCTTGGAATGAGCGCAAACATCCTTGCAGCCTTCTATATAGTCTTCTACACAGCCATTTTGTGTCCTCACGCAACGCTCCTGCCCACAAGCGGTTCGTTTTTCGTTTCCACAGAGAACAGTTGTAGCAGACTACCTTCTCACAGCAATATTTAAGAAATAATATGACAATAATGTTGATATATGTAATGATTAATGGAACGAGATCAGAGGTGCTTCTTTGTCTGTTCCTTAAGTGATCTAATACCAACGCCAGTGTAGAGTTTTTAGCCTTTTTTCTGGTGGTGAGATATCTGTGGAGCAAATTAATTTGTTCATTGACTAGTGTTTTCTTGTGTGTTTTCAGGAGGGGAATCAGCGTGGGGTGCACCGTTTAAGGATGAATTCAAACCAAACCTTATACATCAAGGTGGGTGACAGAATAACGGTCGTGCTGTGTACTTTATTACTTCTTTGTCTTAAAATACTTGCCAAGTGTGACATTAGGTCTTTGCTGTAGGTGGACTTCACCTCTCAGTTTCATTGTTAGCCTTAGAAGACAGTCGCATTTCGCGATGCCACCACTGGTTTCCCCGCGAAATGACGTCTGAGAAACGAACGCAGAAATTCCAAACTGATGACGCTTGTTGACCACCCAGATCTGGGTAGTGGTTCTGATTGGTTGAAGCAAATTTCCAACCAATCAGAAGCACCATCCATCATCAGTATAGAATTTCAGCGCTCATTTCTTAGACGTCATTTCACGAGGAAACTCCTTAGGGATGGCGTCGCGAAATGTCGGCTGTTTTCTCAGGCTGTGTTAGTGGGTGCATCTCTATCATTTTTTCTTGCGGTTTGTATCCCAAATTAAGAAAATTCAAGTTTGACGTTTTAAGACGCCTGCATTGTCTAACAACATATCTGAATCTGAAACGATTAGAACAGTACAGAATCTATTAATTTTTTCTTCAGGCAGAGGAATTTTGAGTATGGCAAATTCAGGACCAAACACAAATAAATCACAATTGTAAGTGTTTTCTAAAAATCTGCATGCGCTTGTAATTAGTCTCCAGTTGTTGTGTCGTTGTGACCCACGATGACTCACGGCAGTTGGAGACTGGATACTTGTTGGCAGTCGGTACTCCCTTTATTGGAGTCACTAGACTGCTGACAGTTGTTGAGAGCAAGTCGATAGAGCAAGGAAATCTTGAGGGCCCGAAATCGTGAATGACGTATAAAAATATAGAATGCAGTAATTTTGTTTTATGTTCTTGATGACATATCTTAGGCGTTCGTCACGCAATCATTCCTCCCCTACGAGGGGAAGGAACGCGTGACGAACCCCTAAGAAAGTCTGCGTGGGAGGCTATTGATGACATAGCTAAAAACACCCTAGAAGCGAGGTTATCCTTGTCTATAAAGCGTCCTAATCCATTCACTGTAAAATTGATAATGTGATCTGTTTACTTGTAGCTTCATTACGTTTCGCTCTTGTCGCCATTTGGATGAAAAGCATTCCGTGTTTGGCAGGTAACATTTTTGATACACATTGTTGTGCTCATTTGTACATGAAGGAACTTTTCAGGACGAGTATTGTAAATTGTTCAGTGGCGGATCCAGACCTTCAGATAAGGTGGGGGAGGGGGGCGGTCTCCAAAAAATTTTTTTTCGGCCCTTCGGGCCTCAGTTTGGTCTAAAAGTAAGGGAAAGGCGGGGCCCCCGGCCCCCAGCCCCATCCCCTTGATCCGCCTCTGTTGTCTTATTTTGTTTGTGAACACTATTGCTTAGTTTGCCGGAAAAAAAAAAAAAACAAAAGAAAAAGAAGATGTCAAACCTTTTAACATTGAATTTTATTGGCAGATTGGTGGGTGGCCATGAAACTTTGAACGCTATGGAAAGAGTTGAATGCGACGAAAAAGATCGACCAAAGGTTAACGCATACCGAATTCAGTTCAATTCTTCTTTATTTAGATAAAATAATATAACCTCGGACATCATTTACTCTCGTTGTAACTCGTCTATGCTTAAAAGTTGTTTTATAACTGTTTTTTAGGAGGTGATAAAGCTGATCAAGGCAGTTGTGTTTGTGAATCCGTTTGAAGAAGTGGACGCAATTGTAAGTACATGTAGTCTTGTTTCATATTGGTTTCGCATTACCTCGTCTCCTCGAATTTAAAAATTCCTTTTGAAATTCTTTTTTCCTTCCTACCTTCCCCTTCATTTTCAAAATAATATGTATGAATTGAAATTACCGTATTTATTTTAATAAGCGCCCAACCTCAAATTAGCGCCCACTTCGAATAAGTGCCAATCCTAAAGGCAGAAAAAGTTAATAAGCGCCCAGCCTCGAATAAACGCTCAAAGGCAACGATCCTCTTTTTCTTTTCCATAATTATTGATAAAGTCCTTTAGAATTCAACTCTCGCCAAGATTTGACGAAATGAACGAGATGAAATGAGCGCGATAAAGTTTGAAGTGGCGCGAACACACTTTTTAAGTGACGTTTTCGTGGCCGTCGTTGTTCCTTAAGCTCCCTATTGACAAGATGCTGTGGAATACTGTTAGCAGGCTGTTGAATCTTTTTCGTTGAGAAATTATTTTTCAGCATCTAGAGAATACAGGCATCCCAGACCTCCTATATTTTCTATCAAGAGCCCTTGTTTCTATTTATCCTATAATTTGTATAGGATCCTATAAAGAGCCTATATTTCAAGAAATCCTCCTATATTTCCTATAAATAGGACATATTCTGATATCTGCATTTTGCACTGTGAAGCAATTTTGTTGTGAATTAACAAAATCAAAATTCTTTAGTATTTTTTTAATTTTCTTGATTTTTTTTTTTTTGATTTTTTTTTCCTATAAAGAGCCTATGTTTTGGCAGAAAATTCCTACATTTTCCTACATTTTGAACTTGAACAGCCTATTTTACATATCAGAATTTCCAAAACCTGGCTGGGATGTCTGAGAATAGATGTAGAATTAATGCCTGAGTTGTAAAGTTAATACCCGAGTTTTGGTAGCCTGAGTAGTAGGCGCTTGGAAGTAATGGGCGCAAGAAAGAACGGGGCGCGCGAGGGAGACACTCCTCTTGCGCCCATTACTTCCAAGCGCCTGCTTAAACTACGCCGGCTGGAGTTTTAGTTGCTGGGTGTTTTCTTTTCGCGCCCTAGAAATTTCCTGGAAAGCCCCAGAATTCCCCATCGTTTCCTCGAAGTACGAACTCTGTTTCAACTTTGTCCAGTCATGTACTTCATTCAGCTGATCTGTGTGTTGATTTTTTTTTTAGCTCGAAAAAGAGCGCGAGAAACAGGAAGAAGAACAGAAACGACAGGTAACACACCTAATCGGTTTTATTTCTGTTTTCTTTTACATGAATAAGGGTATATTAACAGACAACACCGGCAGCAGTGGAAATCGTTTATCCTTTGCTCAAGGGCAGCCAAAAATTCAGTTTTCTTTGATACTGACAAACAAACAGAATTAGATGAAGTACTGAAGAGGTTTTATTTGAATGCTTACACCCCTTGCCACTTTCCCCTTTATGACAACGTTAAATGCCCGTAAATGAAAATACAGACTTGTGAAGCCAGGAAGCCATGTCATGTGATCGGAAGTCAACATCTAAACAAGGTGAGATTATTTTCGCGTAGACTGCAAACAGTCCGTATTTTTACGTAGGTCGAGAACGCAAGAGAACAAAAGTCCAGGAGCGAGGCCGCGAGGGTGGAAACAAAGTGTGAGGCTTTTGCGCCTCGTGCAAAAATCTCGCGAGCGCGCCTTGAACAACAGATTTCGAAAAAAAAAAGCGACTGTTATGCAGTCTAAAATCCTCGAAAACTCCTCGCGTGACACTTTTGACGGTTTCGTCTTCAGGATGAAGAGGCAAGAAAGAAGAAAGCGGCGGCCACGCCGGCAGAAGCACCCAAAGTTTATCGGTCAGGAGTCGGAAAGTACATTCCAAACAAACCTGCTTCAAGGTATCACTCGTTTACCAAACCGATACGTTGTCAATTATCTCAACTTATTATTAGTTTTCCTAGGAATTGGATCTGAGTATTTTTGGAGATTTTAAGAGAAGTCCCCTTAATTATCGTCCTTTTGGTAACGACTGATTCAGTGGTGTTTTGAGATCTTCAAGTATAGTAAAGGACTCACTCATCCAGGCCCTAATAAAAGAGGGGGGCCTGGTCTCAAAGATAATTTTTCTCAGCCCTGTGGGCTTCAATTTGGCCTAAAAATAAAGAGGAACTCCCGTGCCCCTCCTCCTAGATCCAACAGTGTGATTGAAGTAAGCCCGTATTTAAAGGCCTTTCTGGCCTTGACACGCCAGGAGGTATAGTGCTCCCCAGGAGTTTGTCGCTCACCTTTTGCCCAGTACTGGTTCTTGAATCCTCGACTGCAAAAGAGGATTTTGAATCCAAACTTGTAGGCTTCTCTCAAACGTTCTGTAATAACAGATCTGCTTGAATAGGAGTTAGGTCCCCGCCGTAGAACGAGATTTAAGAAAGGTCGCTTGAATAGAGGCCTTGGTTTTTAAGAATAACTAAGGCTCTTTTATTAGCCTACTTGTAATCAGGCCTCGTTTTGTTGGAGCCAGTGGCAAGTGTGGCTAGGTTGTTTAAAGTGTTTAATCAGAGCATTTATCAAACCGCTTCAACACTTACATTCTAACCGATCGAAAACGGCGATGCCTTTAGAATACAAAATCTTGTTTATGCTTTTTTGTTTTATTTTCTCAAAATTAGGGACGCTGATATCGCTGAGCTCGCCCCGCAAACGAGTAAGAAGAAAATCAAGACTTCTGGTGGGTTCAAAGACTTCAGTTCATGGTGACGTGAAAGTGAGAATTCCCGGGGAAAACCAGGGTGGCAACGACTTTCTGGATTGGTTCTGTTAAAGTTGACTTTACCGTTTTCTATCCACTCACTGAATGCTCGGTCAACAAGCCACCCGGTATTAACCAAGGGGATAAGGAGGTCTTATTGGTCAGAACTGTCAGGACACTTTACGTGCTAATCGATCCAAGGGAATGGAATCTGGTGTGAGACCCAATCTAGCACTGCATAGCCTTGTTCACGTGACACGTGACTTGAAGTGATTCATAGGAAACTTATCCAACATGAGAGCGCTATAACAGTTTGTATTGTAAAAAAGACAGCTACTTTGTACAGAATGGTGATTCCAGTAGATTAGGCTATAGTAGAAGGAATTATTTCCCCTTCTCGTGACCAAGCTTGGAGACTGATAGGCAAGGGCTTGTCGCTATAGCAACTTCCGGCCACGAGACCGGTCACTCGTACTCACTCGTATTCGTTATTCGAGTCTAAATCGTCACGGCAATTGTCCCAAAAATAAAAATAAGGAAACGGTGTCTCTCGAATATTTCAAGAGAAGAAGAAGCGGGTAACGTTCTAGAATACGACTACGAATACGTGCCTAGAATACGATTGCGAAGCGATCAAAGAAACCCTTATTGGTATTCATACCATTGTAAACACCTGTTACTGTAACGCAGTCCTCTTACAACTTGGAACGTGACTTGTAGAACCACTAGTCTACATTTAGCAGAAGGGACTCAAACAAGAGCGGCAAACCTTTTAATTTCATACAGTAACTTAAGGAAATCATTATTTAGCGGTGAAGTTTTTAACTCGGAAAACTGCTTTTCCTTTTTAATACTTTTTTTTTTTCGTTATCGTACAAATCATTTCGTGACCTAGCGGCGAAAGTGTACATTATAATTTATTACAACAAAATGTAAATTTCAGCAGTCAGGCCAAGGTTTCACTTAAACTCAAGATTTTTTGACAACAAAAAATTTTAAATTTCAGGTGGTACAGCACCAGGCTCGGGGAAAATATTTTCTGCAGCTTAAATATAAACCTAATTTAATATGGTGGCTTAAAATAAGTCATCCGATTCGTAATTCATCAAAATTAAACCATGTTTAGTGTTGCGTGCAAAAATATAGTTTTGAGCTTTTTATTAGTGGACTTCTTATTTCCCGAATCACGCACCGAATATCACGCGGAAAAAATAGGAAAACGAAACGTACGAAGAACTACTGAAAAAGAAATTAAAGTGAAATTAATATTTCAGTAGTTTTTTTGGTCAACTGCGTATGAGTTTTTAAAGAGGTAAGTGGTAAAATTTGGCTTTTTTGTAAACGGCCAATTTTTATGCTTGCGTGCTCGAGAACGGCATGCCGGTCTCGTGAAATTTAAGTGACATATTTAACCTGTGCTAAAAATTGTCTTTTTAATGTAAATTGTCGGTTGACATTTCATATACGATTAAGATATTAACAAAAGAAACACGAGCGTGTCGACCAGTTTGGATTTTCGTGGATAGCAGCAACTTTGAATCTATAAGAAATGGCTCAAAAAGTAAGTATTTATAAACCTTAAGATCACTGCTAAAATGACTGAATTTGTCTGTGTAGACGGCGAAAAATTGCTGTGGTGTAATTTTATTTTCAAACAAAATCCTACCAGGAGTGTTCCACTGGTAGCAACAATAACATTGCCTAACCTGCGATCAGGCGCTCCTTCTTCCCTTTCCCCTAAAAACAGAAACCCCTCCTCGCAGGTTATAACATTGCCTAGCCTTAAAACCAAGTTTGTTTTCCCTTGAAGTTTATTGTAAGAAAAAAGTTCTTTGGCTTCGTGAATTCTGAAAGGGAACTGATATGAATTATACTTAACTATCTTGAGTCCGAAATTTGTTTGGAAATTTTAACAAACCGTTGTTTTTGTTGATAACTCAAAATACAACTGAAACGCATTACGTTCGATTACTGTAAACTTGTTTGTGAAGTTAACGATTCTTGGAGGTTTTGCACTATAGTGCGGCAAAGCGTTGCCGCTGTAGATCATTCTTTTCAAGCCATTGTGCAGTCGTTTTTCTGAATAACCGTTGTACATTCTGTAAAAGTGGCGGAACATATGATGCTTAGATTAAGTTTTTGGAGTACAGTTAAACGTGCATTTAGCGGTCACCCTGTGGTTTTCCCAATTTTCGCGATTTTAGGCACATTTACAATCTTGGACAAAATGGATGGAAAATTAACACCATCCTCTCTACCCGCGTCTTCGAAATCAAGCTGGGAAAATGGCATATTTTAGTCTTCGCTCCGCTTCATCCTCGATTTCGAGAGAAATTATTCTGTCCAAGATTATAGGGCCATCTGGCTTTTAAGAAAATTATACCCAGGTTGTAATTCCTCTTTCCTCTTCAATAAGCCTCTCCGGGTGTAAACTTTCTCTATTTTTCCTTTAGTTTAAGATCCACGATTATATGACTACTTAGTTTTTGGGAAAATTATACCCGGGTTGTAATTACTGCCTCCCTTTAATAAGCCTCTCCGGGTGTAAACTCCCTCTATTTTTCCTTTTGTTTAAGGTCCAAGATTGCATTACTACTGAGCTTTAAAGAAATTTATACCCTGGTTGTAATTCCCCCTCCTCTTTAATAAGCCTCTCCGGGTGTAAACTCCCTCTATTTGTCCTTTTGTTTAGGATCCAAAATTATATGACTACTTGGCTTTTAAGAAAATTATACCCGGGTTGTAATTACCCCCTCCCTTTAATAAGCGTCTCTGGGTGTAAACTCCCTCTATTTTCCCTTTTGTTTAAGATCCAAGATTATATGACTACAGATGTACTTAGCTTTTAAAAAAATTATACCCGGGTTGTAATTAGCCCCTCCTCTTTACTAAGCCTCTCCGGGTGTTAACTCCCTCTATTTTCCCTCTGACTTAATAATCTTAATTAACACTACCAAAGTAAAACTTTAAACGCGAATACTTAGAAAAGTAAAGGCTGATAGCCTTGCCGGTCTCACCCAAGTTGTTTTCGTTTTTAATAAATCTTGACGATGCCAAATTCGTAATGCCTAGTTGTCTTGCTGTTATAGAGACGACTTTGCCAAAAGTGTAGGCGACCCTTTGAGGAATATTGCGAAATGTGTACTTCAGGTTGACGTACGGCGCTCAAAAGCGTCCTTGCTTAAACTCTCTATTGTATGTGAGAATTCCCTTTAGTAGAATTCAGTACTTAAGTGCAAATAATTGGGATGGCTGCTTAATTTTGTTGTACCTGTATTGTAGTGCTTAAAGGAAGCAGGTTGGGTCTTTTTAATGCAAATGATCACCTTTTTTCCAACTATTGTAGCCTTTTGGAGGGATTCAGATTTCAATTACAGGTTACCTCCCATATACCAGATACCTGTACCAAGTTCTAATGAACAGTTTACTGGTAACCATGAGTGAAACATCGAACTGAGAAACTTTGGTTTTGTGTTTCTATGGATCTTGAAGGAGGCAACATTCTCTTTGCGCAATCGCTTAGTCTCCTTCATTCCAAGAAGTAAGGGTCGCCTTATTTAAGCCCACCTGAAAGGGCTCCTGGGACGATTTTCGCCGCTATTTGGAAAGGCCCCAATAAATGAATACTAAGGAGCAAAAACCGTTTTTAAATTTGCTTTGAAGATTAGCCCTGTTTAAAAGGGCGTAAACTTTGCAAGTGTTTATATCTTTTTTTTTTTTGTAAAGAGATGAACGTGTGAGATTTCTAACACAACGACCTGCTACCTGGACCACGCGTTCTTTTTTTTTTAATTTGTCGCAGAGGTTTTAAGTAAAGTAAACATACTGGTAATTGTTTTGTAGCCAGATAGTTATTAGATGTTTGTTAATAGCTGATCGATTAAGTAAAGTACATGTTTTCCGTTTCAACCCAGAGACATCTCTAAGAAGAGCTAAACGTTTATACTCCGTTCTCTGCTTCTTCGACTTGTTTTGTTGCTGTTGTCATTAAGAATCCTGGTTCAGTACGGTCAGATATCGAGCACTCTATTGGGACCAGTTAAATTATGGGTGATGCTGAATCACAAAGGGCAGATTTATTCAAGGATAATCCAGTTCTGTAGAATTAATTGCCGCTTTAGCACACATCTTCACTCTTGAATATGGTACTCTCCAGAGCATTATCCATCTCTAGGTATTTTCTCTATTTGTTTACTGGTCGTAGTTGTCAGATAAATTGTGTACTTATTTGCGGGTACCTGGACCTTTGAAGTTTCTTATTCGGAGACATGTGTTTTGCCTAAGGACACAACACTATCACAAAGGCCAGAATACTGCGTGTAGGCAGCATATATATATATAATTAAAATTTGAAGCAGTCAGTCAGTCCGTATATGTTCATCAGTCTATCTGCACGAAAACGGAGAGAAACGAGGCAACGAAAAAAGCATTTGGAAACATGGCACAGAACAAAACGCTTAAAATGGTACGGTATGCACTCTGACTTAATTGTATGTTGTTAAGACTTTCAAATAGTTTGAAAATGACTCGATAGGCAATTGCAGTCTTTTCGGTGTTTTCGGCAAAAAATTAGAAAGGCAGAAACCCTACAAGTAAACTCATTCCGATCGCCATTTACAGTCCAAACTCAGGAAGTACAATACTTGAATAAGCAAATGGTTAACTGCTCCAAAGATGTTAACTAAGTACCACATCGAAGCTTGAGGTTCATTTTAATTGTTTCAGTGTAAGATTTTCAATGCCACAAATCTTAAATGTTGGTTCTACTTATATATAGATTTGTGACTTAATTCGCAACCCCTAAGACCGTCTGCGTGGGAGGCTATTCACAATCTGGAATAGTGGAGAGTAGCACGAAATGTTTCTTCCTCTCACTTTTCTTTGCGCCGTCCCCATTATCCTTGAACGCCTTGAACAGTCTTGTGATATCCCGGCTTTATTTGAGGCCGACTTCATGCGAAAATTCCGGCCAGGATGCAAATAACGCTTAGCGTGTGAACGAGAGCCAGCGTATGGGTACTATTGGTCGTTCAGATCGTGCGAACAAAGCCTCCACAATACCTTGTGCCCCCAATTTTCTGCTTTGTTTTGTTTTGTTTTGTTTTGTTTTGGATGAGAAAAAAGAAGTGAAACCTCTGTGTGGAATCAAGGTCCCCCTCCGCCAGAGAAAAAAAATTCGATCAAGATTCGACTTTTTACCAATTCTAATTGAATTAGTCATCCCTTTGTGTTCTTGCGAAATCGCTTAGTGAGAACGTTAATTTCCTTTCCTAAATTACTGAATGCACTAGGACTTAGATCTGCTGAGGTACCCTCCTTTGTCGATGTTTTAATTATCTTTAGCAAGATCCATTAAGTGTCCGGATACAAAAAGGTAATGCGTTAATTAAAGCCGTGCGTTGTATTGTTAGTGTACTTACGGTAAATTAGGGCTTGGTATAGTACCAATTTTCAGTGACAAGCAGTATTTTTAGCTGGGCTTTTCCTTGTCGAAAAGCTATGAATAAATTTTAAAAATCCTCTGAAAAATATCTCTTACGAGAAGAAAAAAATTGCTAGACTTTGTTTTCTCGGGTCAAGGTTAAATTTGTTATTCTTTCTTAAGGCGTCTATCTTTGAAATAGATGGTTTGCAGAGTTTTCACCGGTAATGGTACTTAATGATACCGAGGAAGTAATTACTTGATAAATTGTATTACTCGGAAGAGTATTGATGAAAGATCAAATAAGTGTATATTAAAATTTCACTCCTCTATTTTATACAAGATAACACTGAGTGGTATAGTTGGTTAAAAATACTGTGTACACTACACTGGGTCGATTACCTTAAAACGGCGTCAACAATTAGTTCGTTATTTCCAAAGCTCTTGAGACTATGGTATGTATAAAAATCTTAGCTACTTGAAAACGAATTTTAAGACTGAGTTATCTCATTTTTGTCAACCCAATTCAAATAGATTTTTCATCAAGTTTATCTGTTTAATAGTTTTCTTTTTAGTTCAGTTGCATGGTTGAAAAGAAAACCACAATATATGGGGTTTATATGACTGGAATGTTGAGGCGCGTTTACACTACAGAAAAACTTGTTCGGACCAGCCCAAAACAGTGGTACAGACCGGTAAGTTTTGTAAAGAAATACTAGAGTTTTCGCAGGGCCATAGGCGCCTATAAGGCCCTTTAAAAACTCCAGTTTTTTTTTTTTTCAAACGTAGTATTGGTGCCGTATCCCCTTTGGACGGGTCCGGACCAAATTTTCTTTAGTGCATGTAAACGCGCCTTTGAAGATCTCTTTTTTTATGAAGTTTTAGTCGAAATCCAATTCCAATTTTACAAGATTTGTGTATTTTGGTGACAACCGTGTAAATACTTTAAAGAGGAAAAAAAGGATGACAAATAGAAGTCACGCTTGTCCTGTGTTTTATTGTTTTTTTTTTTTAGTGTTAACCGAAAAAACTTTATGAAACAAATTGCTTTTGTAGGATTTGGTCACACGCTCCTCTCCATGAAAACATCTGCTTGTGAAAGAAAGTAAATGATTTTTTCTTTGCATATTGTAGCTCCCAAATATAGTACATCTAAACGTTGGAGGCCATTTCTTTACTACTCGACTTTCAACACTACTCAAAGACAAAGATTCTATGTTAGCCGCCATATTCAGCGGGCGCTTCAAGCTTGAGGTGGATGACCAAGGTAGATATTTCATCGACCGTGACGGAAAGTATTTTGGCTATGTCTTGAATTATTTGCGTGACGCGTCACTGCTTCCAGAAGCTTCAGTTGCATTACAGGTGTATAGAGAAGCACAGTACTTTCGGGTCGAAGAGCTCATTCGTCAGCTTGAGCGTTACCCTTGCGTTATCCCCTATGTTGTACTTGAGGAACAGAAGAAAAAACTCACCGAAGAAAAGTATCAACACTGGAAAAGCGTACTTTTAGAAACAACTCAGCGGAAGTATAGCCAAGTTGTAAATTCCTCGGTTGGCCATGACTGCGTGGTGGTAATGACCAGGTACACATCAAAGAGTGATTACGAACTTGGGGACAGCATCTGCAAAAGCCACACCTCTGCTTGTAAACATAAAGAGAACTGTAATGAGCATCGATTCTTTAGCGTTGATGAGAGTGGGGAAGTAGTGCAGCATTACATCGGGTCTGATCTCCCATTGGTGGATTTTGTCGTTCCTGATGAAGATATCGCGGATTGTCGTCTATTTACGTCACTGGTTGAGAAAGATCTGCGCGTAGAAGGGTTTTGTGTCAGCGGTAGCTTTTCGCACAGCTGGAGGTGTTTGAAATGTGACGTCACAGGTTTCCTTCACCAAATGGCTTTTAGAATGTATCTTCCCTCCTTAGCAAAAATCATAGAGAATGACCCTGGAACAAATTAGTTATTTGCTTATTTAATATTTATTAGTTTATAAATAAATTACTACTTATTTCCAATAGCTGGCAAATGATAACGGACTCATTGTACCATGCCAAAACAAAACGTTAATCAAGTTACTCTTGTAATTTGTTGAAGCAGTAATATACCGAACTTTACGGCAGAAAACCAAGAGAAAGCTATGCATGTTGTTGTCATACATAAATTTTAATGGAACAACAATTTTTCTCGTTTGCTTTGCTTCGTTTTGCTACTGCGAATCCCATATTCGTAGTTGCTGTAATCGTTGTCTGTTTGCTCGTAAACTTCCCAGATAGTAGTAAGTGGAAATTTCAGGTTTTATGCTGTAAACAAGTTGCCAATAAATTTACCAGCAGGCTCAAGCCTGGTTTCTACTGGCTCTGATAATAGATGAGGGGTACAAGGGTCCCGAGGAAAGCTCCTGTCACCACAGTCCGCCCAGACTCACAACAGCCTACCGGAAGCCAAAGGATTTGTATGTTTATTGTTTCCTGTCCTACAAACGCCATTTCACCAAATTTTGATGTTTTGGTTCAAAACTTGCTGAAATGGCGTTTATAAGGCGGGAAATAGTAAGAAAACAACACAGACACAACACAACTCTTTATGAGGTATGTACACTTTAATGACTGGTTATGCATTTTAACCGGATTCCCATACAAACAAATCCGTGATTCTGGTTGCCCTGTGCGTTGCTCGTGGCACCCGATGCGAAGTGGCGGGAAAAAATAAATAGGTCACGTGGTATAAGCTGGCATAAAGCAGTGGGGATAAACTAGGAAGTTGAATTTTCTTCATCGTCTTTGTTAGTTTTGTGTGGGCGTTTTGTTTATTTTGTAATCAATACGACAACGTTTTCGTATTAAGTAACGTAAAGTGACGGGAGATGTGCTGGTAGATGCTTTTACGAGGGGTAATGTGGAAAAACTAAAAAAATCAAAACTTCAGAAAGAAGGAGAACAGAGTAAAACAAAGCCCGCGTAAGAAAACTGAAGAGTAGATTCTGTCTTTACGAATTTGCCGACGTCTCAACAAGTAAGTATCTTTACGATGGTCGCTTTTAGTTGCAGCTGTATATTTGAAATAGTCAAACCTTCCTTGATGGTGCCTTGAATTTAACCAAGATATGGAGAAACAACGTGATCGACTTTGCACAAGATCTTTAAAAACCCGCTTCAAACTAGTCTATCCAATTCGCAACAAAAGACCACAAAAACTACAGAACTAGTGTCCAACATTTTCTGACTAAGTAACGCTTTTCTTTCTTTCTTTTCTTTTTTTTTTTTTTAACTAAAGGCTTCTGAAAGAAAGAAAACGCAGAATGTTTGCTAAAGCGACAACATTCTATTTGTTTTTACCACCGTCAGCGCCCAAGAAACCACGTGACAAACCTTTTCCCATCACTCTCTACGCGCGCACGAAGCCTTGCCGTTAAAATTACCCAAAAAGAAGCATTTCGAGAATGTTTTTTTACAAAAATGTTCTTTTTACTCTCAGAAACGCAGCTGGTTGGATTGTGAAAACCACATTAATTAGCAGCAATATAATTGCATTAAGAAACCTACAGTCCCGTAATGGGGTGCAAGATGAGCGATTCTCCGGAGGCCTCTCACTGGCATCCTCTTTCTCTGGAAAAGGGGAAGAGCTAAGAGAGAAGCGAAAGGAGGGCTATTTACCATTTATGTGGGAAAACCGGAAATTCCGGATGGAAAATCAAATAGTACGCCCCATCCCGTTTGGGAAGCTTCAGAAAATATGGGCTGTGATTTAAGGCTAAGGAATTTTTCTACTCCTTTTAGTCTGTTTACCTGATTTGGATACGTTGTGTAGCGGGTCGTTCTCTCAGCACATCAAATGTTATGGGTGGTTAGTGTAAATGGTAAGCACCCCCCCCAGGGAAAGAGCGAAGGAACCCTTACCCTTTCCTATGCATTCGTCTCCCCTCCCCCCCCCTCCGCCCCCCGTCTTTCACTAGCGCTTGACGGGCAATTTCCCACGCAGCCATCACTCACTGATGAACTTCTCTCAGGGGTCCAACCTTAGCCTGAAATTCATCCGATTGCTTCGAGTCGTTTTCCCCTCTCAACAACTGAGGGAGTAATAACGACTCGAAGTAATCGGATGAAATTCAGGCTACTTCAACTTGTGCTATACACTGAGGGCTTTTTAATCTCCATACTTCCACTCCGTTACACATTTGATAGTACGTAGACTCATCAATATATTTTTATGCGACTATCTTATGGTAATTTTTCAACCAACACGGCGGACGTGACGTGATTCAGGGACCTGCCTCGTTCCTTGGCGTCTCAAGTGTTTGGAACTAAAACGCGACTTCTCACGTCTAGAGGGAAGCTACATGTATTTGCAGGTTACTTATGCTGACATGTCTTAGCTTGCCCGAACATGCCCATGACAAGATAAGTCACACGCGAAAGACAAAAATAGAATGGTTATGGTGCTGTTAGGGTGGGGTAGGTAGTAGACAAGTTTAGCGCATCAATGTTCAATATGGGATGAAGTAAACAGTTAAAATACCACTTCAATTATAATGCCTTTTAGCATATTGTCGCTAAACTATGGTTAATTTGAATGCTACCCCTCAGAAAATTTTCCTGATTGAAATTGAAAAATATCTACTTACCTCACCATGGTGAAGAGTTTTCCCGCGCAACAGTATAAATACCGGAAGTAAAAGTAACTTGTTCATTTCTGCAACGGACAACAATCGACAACAAATGGCGACAAGGCCAGCCGCAAACTCGAGTCGAAAAATTGTGATTTTTGCGAGTGAATTAGCCAGTGCGGTTGGACGACATAGATATCAGTCACAAGAAGAGACTTTCCGTAAAGTATGGCTTCGATCGCATCAGCAATCGTTTTGCTTTGCACATGCTTTGCAATTTAAAGATGATCTTCGTCATCTATTGACACAAAGCGAGGAATTGAAGACTCAATTTCCTTCGCTGGAAGGGGCTGAAGGGGAAGTCGAACTTGTCGATTTCGGTACTATACTCAGGAAAATAATCTGTGATGTCTCCTTGAGAAAGGTTTACCACCAAATTCTCTCATTTCTGAAAGTAAACCTCTTTAAAAGCAGCAAAGAGGAACAATTATTGGTCAACGCAAATGTCGTGGAACAAATTTCGGAGGAAGTGAAAACACTGTGCAAACATGAAGAGAAACCGGTGGAATCCATCGTGAAAGAGATCTGTCTTAAGACAGGAGTTGAAAAGAAAGAAGTGGTCGAAGCAATGGAGTCCAAAATTACCAAAGATCGAGGAACGCAACTCGAAAAGAACGCTGTGTTAGATTTTGGAAAAGAGAAAGGACTTGAAATTGAACGTCCACCTGTACCTGAGCTGTATTACAGGGACATGGAATATGATGGTATTACTTGGAGTGTATGCGGTAAAGTTGATGCAGAGACAGAGGATACCGTCATTGAAGTAAAGAACCGCAAGAGTCGTTTCATGTGTCCTGAGTATGATTATATTCAGCTTCAGAGCTACTTGTTTATCTGCAAGAAACCGAAAGGGGTTTTACTTGAGAGGCTGAGAGGGCAAAATAGAGAAACATGTTTTGATTTCGATGAGGAACTTTGGAAAGAACTTACAAGTGAGCTAGCTGAATTTGTTGGCGAACTATCAGAGGCGATGAATATGAGTAAACAGGCTTTGTACGGGTATTCTTCTCCACGTAAGAGAGAACACGATAAGATGTCCCAGAGTGAACCAGTTGGTTGCCAAGCAACAGAAGAGGAGCCAGAGCCAGTGAAGAAGTTAACACTGGAGGAATCCAAAGACAGTTCAGTAATTCCTGAGGTGGAAAACAAACAGCAGGCTGGCTCTAATGAACTTTAAAACTTGCCTATACAAAATAGATTTACCTGGAGTTCATTACTTCAAGTTAGGTACAATGCAGATCTGAGAGGCTTGAAATGTTTGGAGATAGTGAAATCACCGCCTTCACTTCTTGTACTGGAAACAGATGACGTAAAACAAAAGACCTCCTTGTTTTCTGTTCAGGGCAAAATCTGTTTGGTATTGTTTCATGGTTTTTGTTGTTTTGTTTTATGTCATCAGTGTCCGGTACAACTCCTTTTGGAGACTCTCAAAAGGCTTTCCACTGGAATTCCACAGTTAGATCAGTTTATCCAGATTGGTATCATGGAAGTGAAGGGTTGTTAGTGAAATTTCTTTAATTTATTTTATTTTCAAACTTATTGGTCAGCTGGCCAGTTCTGACTTTTGGAAAGCACCATTAAACTGTCCTGCATAAAGGGCTAGAATTGAAAGTTACAGCTGGGCATGCAATATGAGACGTACAGGGCTGTGCGCTTGTACAACCCTCTGGCCCCTAGTGCCTTTTGCTATTTTGGTGACTAGGAAATCTTAGTCTTTGCATAAAAATCATATGCTGGGCATCCTGGATTTCATAGGCTCCCTAACATTTTTACAGCTTCAGAGCATTAGGCTCTCTACAATTTTTCTTAGATCACAGCTTTGCATAAGATGTGAGATGCAACTTTGAAACAGGAGGTGGAAGAAAAGCAAAAAAAACTATGGAATTATTAATTTAACTACCAGCCTGCAGGTCTGTGACTCATCTTCCATTTCTTTTTCAATTTGCTGCAGAGTTAATGAGAGACAAATGAAAATGCCACACAGATTGTTATTAATTCTATTTATTTAAGTATCACTGTATCAGAATAACAGCAGTTGTTATTTATACAATATATTATTACTAATGGCTTTGGAATTAATTGGTTATTTATTTTTGCTGACAATGTCTTATTTCTTGTCATTTAATTAAATAGAGAGTAACTAACAGTAGTGGAGAATCGAAAAATGTCATTTGTTATAATAAATAGGTATCAAATAATCAAATAAAAGAAGACGAAATACCAAAAATAATATGTATTGCTCTACCCAATAAGCCATGGATTGCCTGCAGCTACATACAATGTCCCGGCCTTCTTGAATTGCTCCCAAAGTCTTTTGATTCCTAGCATGTCAAATGTAAGTGCATGTTCACAAGTGTAGCTCGAAAGGTTGTGAACTTTAACCTAGCATTAAGCCAAAGTTTGAGCCAAATTTTCTCAGAAAATTTTTAACTAGAGCGATAAGCTTTTAACTCAAAATTCCAGTTACATTAAATTGAAAGACGAATCTAAAAGAGTTGAAAAGATTTAAATCTCCCCTATTTAGACTCCTGGCCACAAAACTTCAACCCTATTTCAAACCAAACTACCCGTGATACATCATCTTAGCAAGCCTGAAGAAGTTTACATGAAAAAACCTAAGTAGCTTCAAATTACACTTCTCAGAACTTCAACAAGTGCAGCACACCTATTGATGTGACACACACCTACGACCTTGTATGCAGTACCTATTTGTTTATGCTATTGAGCTTAGTAATACAGTTATATTTTATAGCTCAAGATGTACATTGAATACATTTTATAACTCACATCCATGGTTTGTGTAATATCTTGTATAATTTTAACGAGTTAAAGACACTACAACTACAGTTACACACGTTTTCCTTTGACAACTTAAACTATTGTTACTATACTTCTTGGGCTTTATAAAACCTACTGTTTTTTAATCAATTCACTATGTTCATCTTTATCGTTTACAATATTAGGGGCATGCTGAGAGGCGGTGCCATTATTGGCAAGATAATACTTTAGTCTTGAGGGATAGTCTGTCATAACTCCAGCCACCTTCAGCTTGTTGAAAGCCAAGTCAAACTCATGGTCATCATTAAGAACCCAAAGGTAAGTCTACAGATTTCAAAAAATAATCATTTATATCATAAGAAAATATCACAACCAAAGAGTGCATTCAATTGGAACCCAAGATCACTCACACCATGACTCTTTCATTGGGTGGACTCATCTGTTCATTTCATGTGTTATGAGAGGCCCTGCCAGGGTAAATTCTGACAAGCAACATGGCCCAAAAAGTAGCTACAGCGCGTAAAATGAATTTGCAACAAGAGACAACCTTCCTCCGCCACATTGCGACAGTGACGGCAACACCGACAATAAGTGACAAGCATTTATAAACACCGACATGAAACATTTTAAAATTCAGACGGGCGACATGGGACCCCCCCCTGGCAGGGCCTCTTATGATCCGAGTGATCTTGGATCACTGATCGATCCTCACCTAAAAATTTTATGTTGTAGTGAACTGTAAAGGTACTCTGTTGTCCCAATTTTAAATGTTGTTTTGTACATTCACCTTTAAAATTGACAAACTAGAGATTCCTTCTTGTTACTAAGTATGTGATTTTAATCATAATGATTAATTATTTATAATAGTAATTTAATTAAGCACTGCAGTGAAAAATCTGGCAATGAATAATACAATGTTGGCCGAAAACACTGCCATTCTGAAGAGTGTAAACAATGTCTTTTGACAACCCTATAACATTGAAAGACAACTGCAGTCCAAACGTCAAAATTTTGATTAATTTAAAAGTACCAGTATGTATTAAAACAGGCAATACAAAAACAGTCCACCACGGACATTTCTTACAAACCCCAGGCTACCAATATTATTGTAACCAACTCGGACCGTACAGATGTAGATTTATCATACTGGACACTACAACATGTTAATATCATTACTTATCACAAGGAATGTTTGTATACGGTCTTTATGAGAAATGCTAAGTAAATGAAAAGAAGGTTTCAACAGTGGTATATCTGGGGCAGGGGGGGGGGGGGATGTCAAAAAAAGACTTATTTCAATGCTTTTAGCTTACTTGAATTCCTCTCTTGTCCAAATGTTTAAACAGTATAGGACTGACCATAAACCTAAAGTATAAAACAAAAATGATCATGTGCTACAAGTATCTCATGAGCTGTGCGCAATATTAATTTTCCAAAAACACTTCCTTACAAAGTACGACTGTAACACTCAACACTTTGTCGTAACTTTTACACCACTGGCACCTTTTTGCAACATGACAGTGGCCTGAAAAACTTTTCTGACTTCAACGAATCCATTAGCTACTTTGTGGTCACATGACATCTAACAAAATGTTTCCTCCCAAAATTTTCTGAGCAAGTAATATTTCAGGAAACAGTACACTGTTACTTGTGAGTGCTGAGGACTCACTTGAATTCAGATATTTCTGCATGTACATTTTGCAGGATTTTTTCGGCAAGGGCTATAATATTATTATAACACATTAAACACGTACATTGTAATGAGTTGTCCCTGAGGTAACCAGTTAATTCTGTTCTCTTGAATCTCAATGGTTTCCTCGGATCCACCTCAGAAAACATTGAGATTCTCAGGAAACAAAGTTATTTTTGTCCCTTAGGACTGGTCACTAAGTGACTATTTTCCCTGAGAATTTTTTCCTCAGAGAGCAATCTACTCTCACAATTTGGGTTTTGATTCTGAGGATAACTGCTTCCAGAATTAACGAGAATTGACATCCTGGGCGTGGTTGTTCAGGATATGTTGGATAGAGCTATTCATTGGATAAAATATCCAGGGTTCAAGTATAAGGGAAAAAATTGCATTATTTACTGGATAGAGATTAATCCCATGGATATAGATGGTGTTATCCATCTTTTGAACAACTAGGGCCTGAAATATTCTACAAACTTTGCCACTTACCAATCAACTATATGACACAGGGCTTTCATGGTCCATGGAACTTCAAATCGCCTGGGAAGGAAACCAAGAAAATTATCACATGCAGTACAGAACTCAAAACCTCTTTTACTCAGGGCAAAACACTGGTTAGCACATTGGAAACTTCAGGAAGTAGGTGTTTTTGTTTGTTTTTCATACAGTTTTAAATAATAGTAATGGGGTAATGTGGAACTTAGACTCCTCTCCATTAACCTCCTTAAGTGCCAAGAGTGACCAACATCAATTTCTCTTCAAACAATATCAATACATTATCAGAATATCAGAATATCATCATATCAAAGGGAAATGTGTGGAGCTTAGTCTGGAGAATTTGTTTGTGAATATTGGGACTCGAAGGGTTATTTGATGACTTAATCATTTAACAGTTTTTTACCTGATCATTGTGACTGGTAGCATAATTTCTAGGAAGGATTCCTTGAGGGGAATGAAAGGCAACAATCCAGAATAAAACAAAAAAATGAGCAGGGCTGCACGCTGCATTGAAAACATTACTGCAATCTCTGGATCCTACAAATACAAAAAATATACAATATAAATATAGAAATTGACTCTGACTATAAAATAGAGTATAAAAATTCTCATGTTTCACTCTAAAAATTCTTAACCTTTACACAACACTGCAGTTTGAATGCATTTTAAACCGTACCTTCTTGTAGCATTTTTCAGTGACCTCCTTTGAAAAGTTTCCCCACACTGTTATTTTTTTCCTGTTGTACTTGCAGATTAACTCGTGAGTCTAAATTATGAATTATAGTGAAAGCATGTTACAGAAAATATGAAAATAAACATTTTAAGGTCCACTTAATTATAAAACCTGTTATAGAAAATGGCCAAGTTTTAAAAAGCCTGTTCCAAATTTTGTTGCGCTGGGTGATATTATATTGGGTTTGTGAGAATGGATCCAGAAACTCATAAGAGGTTAAAATCAGTAATGAGCTTCTACTGGATTGTAATTCGACTAGTAAATGGATCGAATACTCTGCCCAATGATATTTTAGAATCATAAAACAATCACCCCATGAGGTGACATGAATACCTACATTGGCATGTAAATAAACCTAATCTGTCTCCTTTTTTGTTTAGATACATATATAATTGTATTGAAAATTTACAATGTAAATTATGTATACCCTACATACTACAGTAAAACAAAATATTAATATCATAATTCTTACATGCACACTCACCTTATTTATAAGCTCATCAGAATTACTTTTGATATCTACATTAATTGGAATATCAGGAAAGGCTTTAAAAACACTTTCAAGTAAGGGAATTTTACGATCACCATTCTTTGCCATGCAAGTCACACCTGGAGAAAAAAATTTATATATTAATCAATAAGGATATGACTCTCAGAAAAAGGCAAACAAATATAGGATGCTACATGTTTCTTTGAGGAACTGTGCACTGCTACATGCATACAGCCCACAAGGTGGGCTCCTTATATGATACAATGTACTGGTATCTTCATTACTGGAGGACACTTGGTACTGACTATTATATGTATCACAAAACATTCAAAAGTAGTATAGTATTGGACAGGTGTGTGGCAATTTCACAGAGCTCAAATTCAGATAAATTTAAGGCACCAAATATGCATTCTTAGATTCATCCTACAAGGCAAGGAATTGGTATACCCACAGCTGTTGAAGGTATCAGGTACAATTTTACTGTACAATAAGAGATACATGTAAAACAGTGATCTCGATTGCAATGAATGTTATTATTTTCTGCTGCAGGAAGCAATACTGTGTTCAAAGTTCCTAGTATTTCAAGAGGGCATATGCTAATATTAAATAACTATTACCGTTGTTATAAAATAATCTTTCTTCACTACCTTAAGTAAAACTATATTCCATCCCCTCCCCCAGCCCCTTCTCAATTTAGTTACAACTGGAAATGGGTACTTTCTGTTATCCATTTCAAGGAAAACGGCTATATTATTTTATTCCACAGACACTTAGTATACAGTACAAAGCTAAAAGCAGTGTTCACACTAGTAGTACTACCAGTAATATTATATACCTGGTTGAAACTGTACTGTCAGTGTATTCATAAGAAGGGGTAAGTCCTAAGGGATAACAGAGTGTTATTCAATATTAGGCGTACATTGGCACTGGCTTATTACATTAAACACATCATTACATTGCACATATTAAAGTACGCTGTATACATTTCAGCCCTTAACATGCTACCATCCTGGATGCTACCATCCTGATTCACAAGAATTTCTTTGCAGTCTCCACATTAGTTTCTTTTAGCTGAGAAGAATACAATTTACTGGGAAAAAAAAAGTTCATCATTGCGGTAGCAACGTGTAATAGTGCTGTGCACAGTTACTATTTAGAGACCCGAAACTCAGACAAACAAACTGAAATTAACATTAGTGAATTCCTCACTTTTGTATGACTTTTGTCATTGAAATGAGAAAAATGACCCAACTCAGACAAAAATTGCAAATTAGTCACTCTGACATCATTCGTGTGCCACGCTATTAACAACGTAACCTTATTCATGAGATCATCTCACCTCATATTTCAAGTCACTGATAACTGAATCAGAGAGTGTCACTCGGGAGAGGTCATTATCATGACATACAACAACCTTATGCAAGAGAAAAACAGCCCATTCTTAGCACTTAGATGATTTTGTACTATATTATGGTGGATTTGTTTCTACAGTGTGCTAATGATCCAATTACCTTAAAGTGTACTTGTACTTGTACTTGACTCCACTCGTAAATGTGGAGGTAACATACATTGTGTACATGTACTGATCATAATCAAAGGTAATATGTCTGTAAGATGGGTGAATGGTTTTATTGTAGTAATAAAAATTTTTTATCATTATAAGTGTCTAAACAAATATTGTATGTAATGCTCAAAATCAAAATAATCATTGTTACAATTAAGAAAAATTCATCATTAATTTTGTTTGCTTCTCAACAAAAACACAATCACCACCAACAAGAGGGTGCCCATCAGGAGGAAGGCAGTAAATCATTAATTATATATTTCAAGGTAGCTTTATCAGAGCATGTGATCATTGCTCCATAACATTTGAAGTGCAAAGCAAGTAACCGCGCATACTTGCCAGGAAGCGCAGAAGTTTACCAAAAATCGTTTTTTCTTTCTTCAAGGAAGATGAAAACTGTAATATCTTTGACCTCTTTACCTGTTTGTCAGCCGTCAAACGGACATCAAGTTCAAGCATCTCTGTTCCCATTTCTAGAGCACTTTATAAAGCAAAGTAACGTTTATAAGCTGGCAAATTATGAGGTAAAAATTAGAGTACCATAAAAGAAAAAACAAAACAAAAAAGATCTCAAACAAATAATACAAAATGATGCTTACTGTTGGTAGGCTGTCATGGTATTTTCTAAATTTTCAGCTGCTCCTAGAATAAACAAGAAAAAATAAATCCATTGTCAGAACAAAAACTTTATAGTGACCATAGTTAACAGGTGGTTCCTGTCTAGAGGTTAGGGAGTGATCTTTTCTCTCCTGATAAAAGAACTCACACATTAAATTTGCTATATCTTTAATGTAGATATTGCAGTTAATTTTTTATCCCAGTTCATTTTTGTTTTGGGTTTGTTTCAAGTTCATTAGCATACATTACCATACCCCAAAACAATGGAAAAATAAAAATTAACTCGGATAAAAATTAACTACAATATAGATCTGAGTTCCATGGCTTTGTTTTCACATCTCAGGTGACCCCTGAGGAGCCCAAAGAGAAAGCACTTTCTACAGGTTATGAAAAACCAGAATTGAGGGTTGAGGATGCCTCAAAATCATAGAAATCAGTTAAAAAAATAAAGGAAACACATTCTCAAAGAGGAACATCTACAAGCCATTTTTTAAGGAAGAGTTAGGTATTTTTAACAATTATATTGAATGAGGCTGGGTATGATGTGAAGAATTATGCAGATTGAAGAGGATGTTGTCAGCTGAGGTGGATAACATCATCCTTGTATAAGAAAATTTTCAAGAATTATCAAAACACATGGATGAGAAGCAGCCACATTCTGTATTTGTAAAAATCCAACATGCACTGTTTTTCAGTGTGGAAGCTGTTTGTTAATGTATAAGGAAATTTTTTTCCAACAAAATGCCATTGGAGCAGGGATTTTTTATTTATCAAGAACAACCATTTTTTCCCTTAGTTTTCATGTTTTCCCAGCAACAAGTAATGCTACCTTTTCATCAACCATAGCTCATATATTCCCTTCACAAACAGGTGGCCTACCCAAGCCCAAACAATAACAATATTATTAATTAACTGTGACTAAAACTTCAGTTTCGGCTTACACCAAGGAGAAATTTAACACCTGAATGAAGGCTCTCGAGGCAAAAAATTCTTCATCGATTTGGTTCCAGCTCAACTTAATTGCTTTCATATACATGTTAATTGCTTCAATCTGTGGCTCCAATGAATTTATATTAAGTTTAATTTATTGACCCCACGATTGATAAAGTAAGAAACCAGTGAAATTTAATTTAAGTTGCATTGCTGCAGATCAAACGCCTTTCGCCAACATACTTACGGTTTCTGTTGTCAAACTGCTCTTATCAAGTATTTTAGTCTTTGGATAATTTTGGACTTAAGCTTAAGAGTAACTAGCATTTCACACAATTTTCTATAAAAGCTAAGGAACACCAAACCTCCTCGATGACTGATGTGCCGACATCGAAACTTCGTGTTCTTCCTTTTGTGTAGAATCGTTGGAAAGTTCAGAAGAACAACAGAAGTAATGATGTAACTTCCAATGATTGGTAAGGCTATAGCCAAAGCCAACATTATGTTTTTTCGTCTTGTGAAAGCAGTGAAAGCTTTCTTCTTCTTTGCCGGTGTGAGCTTTTTCCGGTGAATGTCATCAGTACGTGTTTCTGTCAACAACAAATGTCCGCTTGCTTGGTAACCACGTCATTGCAATCATCATGACACAGCCCGCCCAGGCCTTTCCGTTCTATATAGAGACGTGTTAGCCTGGGCAACAAATCTGAAAATTCGCGCTGCACCCTTCCATACTAAACGCCTGGAACAGGCTACCTAAGAAAGGGAGTCGAAAAGGCAACGAACACCAAGAGAGGATGAAGGACCTCTTGCAATGCATTACATAGTGAGTCAAGCACACTCCACCACTGCACTGACCACGTGAAGATATCACGGTTCAACGCCGACGTAGTTTTATAGTTAACGAGTGTTGAAGGAAAGCTCTAACAGTGGTCTTTCATTGGACCCTGGCTGGCTTGCATATCGGAAAATCTGCGATAAATATTCTTCTCTTCTGAACTTAATTTGAAAGGTTAATTGACCACTGCGGTGGAGATTCCAGGAAATTATTAATCAGTTGGTTTAATATCTCTTTAATGGTCCTTATCCGCCTTATGAGAGTAATCTTCCCACACCTGATGATCTAGTTATCTTTGCTAACAACTTCGGCGAATTGTTTATTAGAAAAATTGACCTTATCAAGTAGTTCATTTGTAACATTATAAAATTAATCTTCCTATTGATACTGTTTCGGTCGTGAAATTTGACAGTTTTTCGTCCCTATTCGGTTAAAGATAGCTTAAGACGTTTGTTCACGTATCTGTGTTTCGCCGAATGTTTCATCAGTGCTCCCTTGATCCTATCCCTACGTGGCTGTTACATCATATCTTGATGTTCTTTTGTTCTCCATTACCTAGTAAATTTGTTTCTTTCTACCTCTACCTTTGTAAGACCTTTGCTAAAGAAATTAGGCCTTGAGTTATCTTATAAAAATTACTGCCCAGTAAGCAATTTGCCCGTTCATCTTCAACATTGTTGAAAAAGCAGTTCTTGCTCAATTGTTTCCACTGTGTGAATGCAATTCTCCTTTGCCTAGGTTTCAGTCGGGCTTCCGAAGATTTCATTCAGCTGAGATGGCCTTGCCTTAATATATTCTCATATCCATGGTTCGTCAAGAAATAATGCTCGTTCTGCTGTCGTTCTGGTATGACGGTATTTATTTGACCTGAGTGCCCCTTTCGACACCATAGATCACTGTTTTCTTCTTGACGCTCATTAAAGGCTCACTTCTTATCTATCTGACCGAAAACAACGTGTTCTCGTCAAAGACCGATCGTTCTTCTGATGATTTTTAATTAACCTGTGGTTTCCCCTAAGGTAGTTGCATGGGCCCTAGTTTATTCATTCTATACAACTCTCGACTCTATCATGCGATCGCCAATGAACCATCTGCAATCTGCTCATTGGTATGCCGACGATACGCAAATCTATCTTTCATTAGTCCTGAGAACGACTGAAATACCTCGCTTAGCTGCAGTTGAGACCTATACATGTATTTCCGTTGTCTGTGCATGGCTGATTCAAAATCTCCTGCGAAAGGGCGGGCTAACTCACGTTGTTGGCTTTGTTTTTTAAAAAGCTAAAACTTTTTTCGCATCGAATGGATTCCAAAAGTAATGGTCCAGTTTTGCTAGTAAAGGCTATATTTAGACACTGAAACTGTAGTGTCGTCTGTTGCAACGGATAGCAAGAATGGGCATGGACTTTGAAACTTTGAAAAGTTTGGCCAACATTTTCAAGTTTTAGGCTATGCTGGCAAAAATCACCAAACAAATTAGGGGACGTAGGACTCGTAGACCCCTCCGGTGGTGTGGCCAACCTTTCCTAGCCTTAAAAACAAACAAAAAAATAAAAGAAAAAAGAACAACACCCTCAATGATTCATTTAACTCTCCTTGTTTCGTGAAAATATATTTTTTTCAAAAACAACGGACTTTTTCTTTCTTACACCCAATGTGGGTTTCCAGAGAAAAAACGAGTGATTTATTGGTGGACTGATATATTTAGAGAAGAGGGGGAAAAAAACGCGTAGATGGCATGGTGAGAGCTGGCGGGGAGGGGTGGGCGATGGTTGAGGGTTTAGAGAGATTTGGAAAATTTTGCGTACCTCTGGAAAAATCCTGGCTATGCCCCTGGGCTTAAAACGGCCAAAAATTTAGTCGATAGCCGTAAAAATTGAAAACCTTTAATCGTTAGCCGCAGGAGCCGACGTATATAGCGTAAAAAGAGTTATTTGTTAATTTCAAGGAAGGTGATAAACTCACTTATGACCCGTTACTATTCTTATTTGGCGGCAACTTTGACTCCGTTCGCACGTTAGGCCAAGCGCCTTTTCAGGATCCCCGGGAGTCTTAGCTGACGTCACTTGGCCTGCGTTTTGTAGACGAGTCGACATCTCTTTGATTTTAGATCTCCAATGTCAGTATTGAAAGTATTCTTTTCCAACGAGTGAAGAAAGGCCAATCGAAAGATGCAAGGCAAGAAACAAAAGCTAACAGGAGCATCGGATACTTCCAACATTTAAGAAAACCGTTATTGATTTTCTTGGCCTTAACAAGACCCCCGGGCCGTGCAAAATTTGCTAATGCCCCACCCCGGGACTAACAAGGTGGAAAAATGCTCCGCAGTTTTCCAGCTAGGCATGGGTGCACCTGGAATTGACTGAGGCCATAATATTTGCGATGATGTTCAGGTGGTCGTACGCTCGAACAACGTGCAGAGATGTGAGTGTCACAGTTTGTAAAACACGTTGCCCCTAAACATTGTCAACCTATGACAATATCCCTGTTTTTCTCTAACTCTACCGTAGAATCTTCCCAGGCCCTCTCGGTCAAGGCACTTCGGTGGCGTATCCCAGGACGCGCCCGGACCACATGACCCGAAACGCACTGGCCGCGCGGAATAATGAGGCTTAGGAACAAGACAACAACAGACAGCTACAGTCTGCATGACAGTCGCTATGGTAAAATAAAACCACTGGACCCTGCAAAGACCCTGGAATTTTGTTATTTTTGTTACTTATAACTGGATATCGCGCCCCGGCCGCGAGCTGTGCGCTCGCGTTTCTGCTTTTGCTTTTTCACGAAGATTCCTTTTAAGTTAACTGTTGACATTTCTATGGGTAAAATAATATTTGAAGTGTAATACTTTAAAAGTGGGATCTATCAGCTGTTGAAATTTTTCATCCCGAGATGATCCTAAGACGTATATTTTGCTTTTTAAAAGGATACACAAAAATACAGGTTTATTAATGTTTAACTCTTTGAAACAAAAGAACTTAATAACCAATATCCGTAAAACAGCCAAAATTTTAGCCGATAATCGTAAAAGCCACCATCCCATTGAGACCCTCAGTTAAAGCAGGAGTCCATCAAATGATGATGGGCTCCTGGTTAAAGGGATGACAAGTGCATTTTAGGGCTGTAAAAAAGATTCGGGAAAATCTGTCTAAACTAGGTACATGAAAGGGGTACCATTTGTCAACGTCATTTTTCTGTGAAAAATGGTACCCTGCTATTGGTACTTAATTTCGCGGGTCTTTGTAGTTAATCGCGAAATTAAAGACCCGTGAAAATAAATCCTCGCGAAATTTAATATCCATATAGAAAATTCAAATAACAATTTTAAAACGTGTAATAGAAACGATATGTATTGTCAAACACAAATTGCCAAGTGGTTTTACTGGTAAACTCCATTTTGTATCTTCGGTTGTGAAATAATGTTAGTTTGCAAAGATTTCACACATTGATTGTTCCAGTTTATCAAAAATTTTTTAAAGGTTCAGACTTTTTAAAAAAAAGACAATAAAGTTGAGAACCCTTGAATCGCGAAATTTAATACCCTTTTTTCATATTTACCTGTAAATGTTAAGATCGCTAAGTAAAACCCCGCGAAATTAAGTATATAAAAGGGTAACAGGTTGGACCTCGGGGCGAATCCTCCTCGTATAAAACTTTGTTGAGCACTCCGGGCATGTAGCTAGAGCTTATTAGATATCATTAAAGATTATCTAGCCTAATTTACTTCAAGCACCAGTTATCATAATTATACAAAATGATACTCCAAACGGTGTACAGGAAGAAAAATGTATTCATTATGTATATTCGTTATTTATAACTTAAGTGGTTTAGTATTTAATGTATTCATTTCACTGTAAATAGTGTCTGAAAAACCTTCTGAGGATGATTCTATTAAAGTTCTATTCTACTCCATCATGAAATCATGGATTACAGTCATGATGCTGAATTAGCGCTAATCGGACTATCAGGAACCAAGCCATGATTTGAGGCACGATTTTAAAATCAGTCGGTACAAAGTTTAATTCTTCAAGAAATTTTTTGACATTGGATTATCTCGAGTGATGTTTTTTGAATTCGCGCAGGATTTTACTAAACTTCTTTCAGAAGGATAAGGAAATGACTTACTTTACAAAAATTCAATGGCGTGAGTTCACCCTAACTTGTTATACATTTGGTCTAAACGCAAGAGGACTTTGTTTGAATGGGTTATATCAGTCTTATCCCGGTAGAGACATCAGAAAAATAAGAAAAAAAAAGAATGTCACTATGTCAGGGCACTGGTCGCCCATGTGAAAATGTTAATTTGTAATCCAGTATGTTTAGAGGGGAGGATAACCATAATGAGACATTATCCTTTCTAGGTATGTTAGCTATTCGAGGCAACTACTTTACTAAAAACATCTTATATCTCTGCTGAAAAAGACATCGGAGAGAAACTCAATTCAGAAAGGGCGAGATTACGTCGCAAGCACGTCAATGTAAAGGGCTATGTGAGGTAAAAGGGTAGGGGATAGGGAGGAAGGGAAAAGGGAGGGGGATTCCGTGTTCTCATATTCCGCCGATGCATCTGCGACATGGCCGCCGGTACTGCAACTGTTCCAATATGAGAACAGAAGTAGCCGGCAACATCGGTCATCCCAGTCTTTACCTCCGGCATGCCCGCGATACAGCGAAGTTGACTCGAGTGCAACTCCGCAGGCATGCCGGCGGTAAAGCTCTGCGATGGCTGTAGTAGCCAGCGGCGCTTGTTCTCATTCGTCCGAGAAGTAGGCAGCAAGTAGCTTAGGCGGTATCGGCGGCTACATCGCAGATACGGCATATGAGAACCAGGCTTAAGAGCCGACTACCCTACTCCCGTTGTCTCCGCGAGGGGAGGGTACGGCAACAGGAACGGGCTACATAGATTCCTTGTGATGGATACCCTGTTCCCAGAAGTTTCGTTCGTCTTTCTCGTAGAACAACCCCTGTCGTCGGTGCATTCGCTTGAAAATCTCGATAATGGGCCCGAAGATAGAGGGCTTTAAAGGGCGTATAGATTTGATTTTGGTCTTCAACTGCAGTATCAGGGATTTGAAAAAGTTCAGTCTAAGCCCCATCAAAACTTTCGAAAATCTCCGGCCAGAATTACACTGAGGCACTTATGCACATCGAAGTCGAAGTTCGCACGCATGATTGAAATTCAAATAATATGTATTTGCTTTTCTGGTAATCTTGTTTGTGATAGTTTGGGTTTGAAATAAGTTGATAAATTGGGAACAGGATTTCTTTGTCTTGAGTTCAAAGCTGTCCGGAAGGCGAAAACTTGCGATAATGGTTAAACTGGCTCAGTCAGAAAAGCGTCAAGGACGTGCTAAATGTTCCACATCGTGGATCCTTCGGAACTTGGAACATTATAATTAAACTAAGTGTTCGAAAGTATAGTCTCTACTTCAGTAACCTCAGAAATCACGTAGCAGTTCATTCAATCGTAACAAAACAGCTGCCCGCTTTAGTCCGTGTTCATCCTGTTTTCTAGTCATGGGGTCTTGAGGAATCAGGAATCAGCAATGTTTCAAGACCGTCTTGTTCTCTTTTCAGTTATTTACACTCTAATAATGAACAATCAGTTAACAGTCTTTTAACACGTAGTCATGCTAGTTAGATGGTTAAAACAACTCATATTCTTTTACGATCCATCTTTTACCACCTCATACAGCGAGAGTTGCTTTTATCACAAGGTTGGCATTGCTGAGGTTAATTCTCAACACAGTGTCAACAGCCTTAACAACAATAAATTGAGCACTCTAACGATAAAGATGCTTTCTTTGAAACCGAAAGTGTTACTCGTTCATAAAATCACTGAACTAGACATGATTTATCGTTTGGTATACAGTTTCAAATAACTAAAACAAAGAAGATTTCAATTTTTCTCTGTTTTGGGCCAATATAAACAGAGGGCATGGGGTATCCAGTCTATGACTTGGCGAATTCTTGCGGAAATCAATTAAGCGGTCAACAATACTTAAGGCAAATTTAATAGAATGCCATACATTCATCTCTTTATTCAGACACCAATTGTGTATGCAGATTTTAAGCAGGTTGATAATTTTGGACATCGTGCGTTGCTTGACCTCAGCTGTTCAACGCGTAAGGCATTTTTACATAATAATTGATAGCCAACTGTGGATGTTTACAAATCACTTTTGGAAAAGGAAGGAGTTGGAATCTTCTATTTGTCTGCTGTTTTTGTCATCGTTTGTTTTGTAGGTTTTGCTAAGTAACTTGTCCCATTTGAAGCGATTCGACTGTGACGCTTCAAGTACCCACGTGACGTCATCAGCAGAACACTAGCACTGGGTCGAGTTCTTTACTATATCAATCGTCTTCAAAATGGATGCCTAGCGGCGTTTTCCAAAGATGTAACGTAATGGAGCTACATTTTATGGTTGCTTCTTCGTCTAAAGCGAATGATACATACAACACGATTTACCTCAAAGCGTCTGCCTTGCTCACCTGTGGGCTAGATGGCTGAGGCCTCAAGCGGCGGGGACAAATCTCAGGTTTGACAGTCATATAATTCTGTGCATATTTTCTCGTCCCCCAGTCGCAATGTTTATCTCATCATCAAGGCTAAAATGTACTAAGCTGTCTCCATGTCTCTGCGAATGTCCTTTCAATATCTATTGGGCTTTTGACCCTGTCCATTCTGCAGAAGATATATCAAGATTTATTCGCTATCAGCGGGAATGTTGTCGTCTAAATGAACCACTCCAAAAATTTCATGCTAAACTTGAAGTCTTAAAAACGTGAATAACTGATTTACTACAGGGAATTACGTACATGATATTGGTAGAACGTTTGCAGATCGCTTAATCAGTGCAAGGACAATTTCTTTGTCAATGCACAGAGTGAGTCTTGTTGTAAATGTTTAGTGGTTAGTTCGAGTGCTTTGTAAAGTAGGCGGTCTTGATTTTGCGTTTAATTTATTTACGTTTGATCGTTCCAGACGGTGGTACCAACAGACGAAGCCCGCTCGGTTTCTGTAGAGAAAGCACGATTAGCGGGAGATGCTTGCTCAAGAGGAGAGTTTCAGCTGGCAGTTGAGCTTTATACAGAAGCGATCAATCTAGACCCACAGAATCATGTTCTTTTTGGCAATCGATCTGCTGCATTCATCCGAACGCGACAATTCGAACGAGCCTTGGAAGACGGAAAGTACGCGGCACAGTTTCACCCGGGATGGTCCAAGGTAGGAATCATACATTAAATTAATAAAATACGAAACTGGGATATGCATCTACTGTGACGATCATGTAAAGTTCAAACCACAAAGAAACCTTTTAACGGAAAAAATGCACGTCCCAATTCGTTCTGTCTTCAGTCCACAAATTGGCATAGTTCGAATGTTTGCTAGCTTTTATCGTTGATGGGATTGTGGTCTTTTTAATAGCTATGAACAAACAATGTTGAAATGGTAAAGAATTTTCTGTTTTTAGTGAATAACTAAACAAAATACTATCACTTTACGTATGGTTTCTAGTCCCATTTCGTCTCGTTAAGGATCAGTCTCTGTGTGGGTGCTGTATGGACAATATTTTGTCCCGCTCCTCGAATGCTGTTAAGTGTAGCTCCGTTCAGTGTTGATACGTACAACCTTACGTGTTTAGTTATGTTTGGTGGTATTTCAAAACAGCAGGTCCCTTCGTGTTTTGTTTCAAAATAAGCAGTGTATCATGTGAATTCTCAAGTATTCCAAAACATACTTCTTTCATCCCTACACCGTTCGTGATATATAATCTTTGGGTAGGACGTAGGTAGATGTAAACAGAAACTGTAACACCCGACGCGCGCTTTGCTGTCTTCTCTTCGCTAACTTCCTTGTCTACTAATTAAACGGTGTTTTCGAAATCAAATAAACCAAATTATCTAACAAAGATTCGAGACTATTAACATTCTTTTTTTGTGCTAATCAGATTTCGGGATGCCTTCGTGATGTTTTAAAATTTGATCTCGTTTATTAATTTGTCAGAAGTAAACATTTCTTTCCATTGATGTACGTAACGTAGAATTGTTTATACTTAAAATTGTTCTCTATTAGTCCGCCCCATGTGGTAGTTGATTAAAAAGAAGTGATGGAAATTTGCTGGAGCTAGAGTTTTACCGCGGTGACCTCGGTTCTTCAGGTTACCGAATTCATGCAAGACTGGCATCAAATCCTTTCCGGTTTGATTGTTTATAAAACCAGAACCTTGTTGTATTTGTGAAAACCTTGTCGAGAGTTTGATCAGTTGTCTTTAAAATCAGTGTTAAATTTTGACAAACTTCTTAGGCACTATTCTACTTAACAATGGGGGACTTCAACTTCAGGCGGAAATTAATGAGTGCAAATTTAATTGAAATAGACATCTCTAAAATTGCAAACATGCATGTTCTTTTCATGTACAAAAATAACATGAATTGAAATTCTCAAGTCTTTTTACAGTTTTTAACCTTAAAAAAACTACATTGTAGCTACAATATCGTTAATTTTTTAATGTGAAATACTAAGTGTGGATGAAACTTGTTTACAAGGTTGTCAATTGCCTAATATTGCTTTATTTCCAATTCTTTGCATAGATTATTTTGATATTGTGGTTTTGGAGTATTTTTGTAGTGTTTTGAGTGTACTTCTGCATGCTTTACACAAGTATTTTAGTGTCAGATTTCTTAAATGCGGTGATTTGGATGATAGACAAGATGCTGCCAATTGGAGAGAACGGTGTGAAATGGAGAATCTTCACTGTACAGTTGTACAATACAGCTCTTGCTGTCACGTATTTTAAAAAATTTAAATTTTCTTAAAACATATTTTTATAAAAAGAACAATGGGACAGTGCTGCAGGTCTACAAATGCTGCCAAAGAGTGGGTTTTTTCCGTGGTCATAAAATTATAGTATATCATAGAATTTTATTCTGAAAGTCAAGTAATGAAATTTGTCTGTCTCTGTAAGCTGACTTTGGATGCAAATTTAAGGACATGAGCAACTGGAGTGTTCATGTTGTAAATCAAGTCTTTGCAAATTTCTTTTTCAAGAAAAGAGTTTATTGCAAGGGCAGTTACAATGTGCATTGTAATTGGCTAATCTGGAAATGATGCTCTCTTCAAAATATGTATTTCTTGTGTACTGTGGCACAGTTATCGTTACTTGCTGTTTTGATCAATGGTGGTTGTTATTGAATTGCTTCCCATGATGTGTCCTTTTGGTGCAATATAACGTTATCATGTTACACACAGTCAACACTCTTCGTTATTTTTGGCTTGCATCTTCATAGCATCATTTCTGTCAAATGGTTATTTGTCTCCTGCAAGGTCACCTTCATATAGCACGTTAATCCCCTGAATCTGCTGATCACTTCCCAAAAATATTATTTGACCTCCTTCTGTAGCTCTGAAGAATGCTTCAAGTTAAAAAAATTATCATTCTACTCTGAATAACAAAATTTGTGGAATAACAAACAGTGACGATAATATCATACTGTGTTTTTGTCATCCTGTTTGTTAGCAGTAGGTGTTAAATGGAGTGACTAGAAGTGATAAAAAAAATGTTCTCCCGCATTTGACAGCAACAGAACAACAATACTCAACCACAGTTTATATTTCTCATCCCTACTAACTGTCAATTTAGTACACATGTAACTAAGGGAGTTTGTATCTGTTGGATTTTCTTTGTTACAGTAGATTCTTTTTTTTTTTTTTTATAATACACTGCACCAAACACAAGTGTTGCACAGGTGCATGTTGTATGCAGTGCCCAGATTTTTATCTCCCCCATCCCCCCAAAATGTTACTGCCTAATAATTTATTTATAGATTTTTAAATAGTGCATTTTCACTCTGTGTCCAGTAGCTGTTGGAACAAAAGAAAGTTTTTGTATAAGAAAAAGGTTCAACTACAACCAGACTGGTTTGGGACACCAACATGGTCACCATTTCATCACCAGTATGGCTGACATTATGTCATATGTAAATGCTGTGTTGGTTGAATACTGATAGCTTAAATCCAAAAAGAAATAATAGCTATAGCAGATATACCAGTGCCAAGTTCCTATTAATGTGATTTATGGTATTTTCATTATTTTGACTACTCCTTAATGTTGTAGATAATGATAATAATTATTTGAATGTTACTCATTTATTAGGATATTTTCAGAAGGTAACTTGATACATAATTTGTTGTTTATACCTCCAATTGTTATTTTAGTCTATTCTTCAAATGACAAAATCCTTGTACTTGAAATTTACATGTAACTAGCAAAAACTTTCAGTGTTTCTTTCTGTGTGTTATTGTATTTCTTTTCTTTCTTTTTTTAATATGTAATTTAATATCACCTTTGTTTAAAGTTTTGCTCCTGCCTAGATTAGCATAATAGGTATTTCCAGGGCAATACAGTATTGTGAACTTTATTGTTCTGTGAATAATTAATGTTAATTGTTGTTGTTGTTGTCACGTGTGAGTTCTGCTGTTGTTGCCTAATGGACTCTTATGGATGTGTGTGGTCTTTGTTATAATATTCACTTGTACAATATAATTGACATGAAGTGGAATTTCCTTTAATGTCTCTCATGAAAGTGATCACAAAATTAACAAGATGTTCACAATCTGTAAATATTAGTGTTATATTAATTTTTATTAACTGATAAATTACACTCCAGTGCATTTGATTGTTAATTAACGTGGAATAATAGGATATGAGGTGATAATGCAGGTTATTCTCATATAAGCAAACTGTAAGTAATCCATCTCTAGAATTTGATGAAAAACAATCAAGTTTGCATGACAGAGGGACTCTTTATCTAATCTGGCCTTCACCCTGGCCCTATACAGAATGAAGATGTGCCGCCAAGTTTTTCTGAAACCACAGACCCTTTATCACTTTTAGGTTATTTTTTTTATCTCACTGTGCTCATACTAAACCAGGCCTCTTGACAAAGAGTGTTTTAATCAGTGTATGGCATCTTCTCCAAAATGTTCTGGCTCGTTCTGTTTTATGTGGGAAATCAACTGATGATCACATACTGAATGAGGCAATGTTATGTGCAACAGCAACGCTCATCTTGTCATTATACAAACATTTTTAGCTCAAATCATTTATTTAATGGGTATTTAGAAAGGGCTGTTCAAAATAGAAAGAGGTGAAGTGAATGAAGAGAAATCATAAAAAGTCATTCAAAAGAGGAACAAAATAGAAGGTTATTAAAATTATATCCACTTAACACTCTTGAAGACCACTGTTTCAATACTAAAAAAGTTCACGCATATTGCTACTCAGTGATGTCAAGATGTATCAGATTGATGATAGAATATAACCCTGTTTTGAACGTTAAGTTGTGCATTATAGTATGTGCCTTGTGAGTACATGTAGGTTCATATGCACATAACAATATAGGCTAAATTACTTTCCAAAACAAAAATAACAAATTTAATTATCAATTATTTCATGTCTCTGTGCAATGTATGTGCAGTTGCATGATATAATACAAAAAGAATTTCCTAGTCTAAAGCCTGCTGCAACATACAACTTAGACATAAAACTAAAGCACTTTGAAAACTAATTGGGTGAATAAAACTTGGTTAGTTAGTATCAGAAATACTGTAATCTATTCCCATAGTAGTAGTAGTTCTACACAACTTATGTCCAGTGACATGATATAGAAAGAATTTCCTATTAATGAACCCTGCTGTAACATACAACTCCGACATAAAACCAACCCATTTTGAAAATTTAAAGGGTGCCATAAACTTGGATAGGTAGTATCAGAAAAAAATTCAGTCCCTTAGTAGTAGTAGTTCTGCACACTATTGACATGTCTACTCAATGTACCTTATTGCATAAAATTTGGTGACACATTAATTTAGTGATTTTGAAAAATCCTAAGTAAGCAGCACTTAAGTTAGTGAGTTTTTGTAAATTTTGGAACGTAAGTCACTTAATTTTGCGATTTCACCAACTGAAACTTTGGCGAATTATTAAAACTTTATGATGACAAAAGAACATTTACATGTATGTGATAAAATCATAGAAGTCAACAGATCTTCATTTAATCAAAAATCACAAAACGTTCTGAAACTTAACTTTGAACAAAACAAACGGAATTGCAACTGTAATGTCATATCTTATTGCTGTCCTTACTCATATTTATTTTAAGGTGCATTCTCACAGAAAGTCAATGATACACGTCATAATCGACCATCAAATACAATGTGGTATAGGTGTGTGAAGCAGACCAGATGGCAGAATTTCATATTCTACTCACTTTAATTTAGCAATGATTTAGATTTAGTGGCACTTAATTTTGTTGCATTTTAATTTAGCGATTTGACAAAAAATTGCTAAATTCACCAAAATTTCATGTAATAAGGTATGGGCAGTTATATGAAATAAAAAGAATTGCCTAGTCTAAAGTGTGCTGTAACCTACAACTTGGTTGTAAAGCTAACCCTTTTTGAGAACTAAAAAGGTGCATAGGAAATACAGTCTTGTGTTCTACCCTTGCAATATAATTTATGACTTTACTTAGATGAGAAATCAGTAAAACATTAAAATCTAACGGTATAGTTTTTACTCCATAGTTTGATATGTTTGCAGAATCCTGCTTAATTGCTAAATTTATCTTTAGGCCCTTTTTTACAACCATCATCAACATACTCCACTCACAACACACACACAAATCGAACCCAGTCCCCATATCAGTAATATTGTGTTGTGACCGAACAGAAATGAGGAAAATAGTCGTGGCCAGTAGTTCGGAAAGATGCACAAAAAAAACTTCTAGTAAACATATTGAACTTGAAATTATACAATACATAATTTATTGCTTTGAAATTTATAAAATTTTGGGGCTTAATTCCAGTCTCTAGTGCAGAAGAGTTCAAGAGTGACATGAAAATGATTTAAATTGCTTCCCATCCAGGCAAACTGTTGCTGATGTATCCTAGCCCAAAGCAGTCATTTCCCTTTACCAACTCCCTTTTTCAATAACATTAATTATTTAACTTGGCGAAGGTTTCCTACTTGTCAGACAACTTATAAAAACAGGCTAGCTTGATGGATAGCTCTACTAGCCCCAGGCTATTGGACAGCTCCAAGGCTTTTGTTGTGCCCTGCACATGGGCCAAGGCCAGGAGATTAAGCCTCCATCCATGTCTGTGTATAATCTGCCCATTATTAAGAATTACTAAAATAGTGAGAAGATAATTACGTGGATTTCATTTAATGGATTCCAGAGAATTTTTCATCGTTGTGTTTCATTTAGCTGGTAACATTTCAAATAAGACACGTAAAGTATGTCACCACCAGTTTTGAATAATGTGAATGCAAGCTGCGGCATGAGTTTTGCTACTTTCAAAGAATAAAAAATCGGGTTAGGCAATTCAGGATTTAGAATGGTGAGTAAAACCATTTTTGATGTGATTTAAGTGTTCTGAAACTTCACATCCATCATCCATTAACAACTGTTTTGGGTTTCAGGCTATGCTCTAAGAAAAAAATGTACATAATCAGTGAAACTACATGTATCACTCACGTGCAAGAAGTAAGATTACCTTGTTAGGCAAAGCAAAAGTTTGAGTTGCCTTGGACTACTGGGTTCTACTAGAGAAGTGGTGGTGGGGGTTAGGTTTGGGGCTTTCTGGACACAGATCTGAGTTGAGTAGGCATCAAATTGTTGTCATCAGATAGCACTTGCTGAGATTGTAAACTTGGTTAGATAATATCAGAAGTAATTTATTTGGGGCACAGGGTATTAGTAGTGCTACATGTCATCAGCAGTTATCAGGAACCTATCAGGCTCCTGCAGTTATAAAACTTTTGTGCAGTTTCTTGAAAATATCAAAGAGCAGGCATCCCATGTCCCATCACCAGTGTCTTCAATCTGTTAATTACCTATTTTTTTTCAATCTCCGTTTATACAGTAGCTGTGTGATATGGGTAGAACTAATATGAGGGGCCAACCATGCTGAAGAAAAAAAAACTTACATTGTTGTATGTCAGGAAAAAAAATCTTTCACCAGAGGTTTGGGGAAAAAAATTCTTACCCAAATCAAATCACCCATACCCCTCCTCAAAAGTAAAATGATCAGCCCCCTTTCTAAAATGACTCCTTTTTTGGCTGAAATGCTACTTATAGTTTATATATGAGACAAGATAATTATAGTTTGTTATTTGTCTTATGATCTGGAACTTAAGACAATACATCAAGTAATACTGTACCCTACCATTTTGCCTTAAACATCTGGGAAAAAAATTTAAAAGTGAACCTACAATCTTTAAAATCTTGACAATGCAAAATTTGTGAATAGCTTTTTAATTAAGTTAGTAAATTACAACAGATGTATTCCGCGTTTTCTGTTGATACAGATCTTGTGTTAATTTACACGAACCCTTTTTTTTGTCACTGTGGTTCCTGGATTACATAATCACTAAGCATTTTTTTTTTTTCATACGTGAACATCGGTAAACATCATTAACAATTTTTGGCTTGGTCCATGTTCAAGATACTATTTTGCGATGATTCTTTTGTTTACTTGTGGTGAAATTAAAACATGGTAGCAATCTTTGTGTTTTCTATAGAACTGTGCATGTCACTAGGTCTTCTAAAATGCTATCTAAGAAGTTGTTGTAGGAAATGTGTATGGTATATTATTTTAAAGACATACTGACATGCATGGGTATTCATTTGTGATTGTTATAGTGGACATGTAAATAACAGTTTTTGTTCGCTTTTGTTCCTTGACCTTGACCAAGCCAAAAAGCAGTAATTATGCAGTGTACATTTTTCTTCAATGTTTGGTGTAAAAACAAGGGTACTATGTTTCTTTATTTTGTCTTTTCGCTGACCCACGAAACACAAAAAGATTCCATATTCTTCTCAATTAACATCTGTGTTTTGCTAAATGATGGTTAAGATAGCCTGCAATTCAATTTTTGTCATGTATTGTAAGATTGTTTTCAGTATCTGCAGTAGCTGTTCCTGTATTAAAATTCAAAGCTTCAGGTTTTTTAATCTATTGATTGCATGATCGCATATTGAAAACATTGTTTAGAAATCCAGACAGCACATGTTTTTAATTTACTCCGGTGATAATGTATACGCTAGGATGGATTAGCTTATCAGGTGAACTTGCAAAGGTACATGTTGGCACTAACACTAACATTAACGTAGTCCCGTGGTTATTCCATTCTTGTATATCAAACCTAACTAGTACTGCAATTGACTCCTGATGACATTCACATTGCAGTATAGTCAACTGTCTCTTCCTATCGTGAAAACCTAATGTTGGTCCCTGCTGTCCTTTTTTTGTGTGTCTCTAACACACACACCTCTTTTTTCCAGTGCCAATGGTGTTTGTCACGGAGAAAGTTGACTGTACAGCATACAACATTTGATTGAAAGATCCAAATGAAACTAAAATTTAGTTTTCTGTCTGCAAAACCTCAGCGTTTCCTCCTCTCTTATTGGACTAGAACTCTGTTATAACGTGTCCATTGTGAAATGAAGCACTTAAGTTTCCCATATTGAAGAGTTTGAGGGAGGAGGTAAAGAAGAGCTTTTTCCATGTTTTTCCAATAATTATAATCCATAATCCCTAATCTAATCATACTAACTGAAGACTTTCATGCTGAAATGTTTTTTTAAAAAAATCAGTATTGATCAGGCTCGTCAACCAGGGTTTGAATTTCTTGATTATTGTAGGTCCAAATTTCCCTGTCGGCACTATCGTCTGTGATTCACCCAAGGTCATAATCTTGTTTTGTAAGCACGTAGAGGTTTAGGTAATCCATTGTCTTGATTTTCCATCTGTGTTTTTCTTCTAAGCTACAAAGAAGCCATTCTTTAGTAATTTTGCATCAGACAGTCTTCTTTGATTGAGTTCTTTAACATTCTACAAGTACAGTATTGCTATAATCGACGGAGTTTGAGATGTGAATTCATTGAAAAGGTATCTGTTTTGGACATTACTGTATGTCCTTTTTTAATTGCATTGTATAAATTTCTCCACGTCCACACTTCAAAAATGGTTTTACCGGCTGTTTTTTAAAGTCTCGATGTCATTTCATGTTTGAAAAATCAACATTTGGGATCTCTTCGGCCAGGCTATCTTTTGTTACCTGAATTTCTGGTTGGATTACATAATAACAGATTGAAAAACGTTCATTCTACATAAAGATCTGATGGAATAAACACAGAACATTATTTCAATCTTGGCTCACGTTTAAAGATGCTGTTTCTGGAGATCCATTTGTCGGACAAATTTTGTGCCTTTGTCTTTATGTCAATCTCTCTGTTTTTGTAAGTTAGTCTTGGTTATTGCTCTTCGTGACTTAGTTAAAGTAATTAAGTCAGTTATTATATTCCCGAGTTTATATTTATGTCTTGAGGCTTTTCTATAAATAGAGTTGCTAATTAAGGAGCGGCCTCGCAAAAAGAAATCTTAACTTCCAAAAAAAAAAACTCTACTTACAATGATCTTGTGGAAAATTAAACGTGGTCAATCTGAGGTGATTGATTTAGGTAATGCGTTAAATAGCTACATGTACACCTATGTGCAGAAATATCACTAAATGACAGCCAAAAATAGGCATTGTACACACTGTGATTCTAACTATACCTTTATTGTTTGCATTGTATTTCACCAGTTCTTAGCTGGATAACTCTGTTATGGTGGCTGAAAAAAGGAATCGCAAATATTTCATATTTCTTGTCTAGCATCCAAAGAAATAAATAGTATTGTGCAAATGTTCTGCCAAAAAGGTTTCATTTTAACATTAACACCATAGGATTTCATCCACAGACTCAAAAGTGAGAACAACGCACTAAATAAAATAATAGTACCATGTGAATATACTGCTGAAGAGGTTTCATTTGAATGGTAACACCATAGGATTTCGTCCACAGACTCAAAAGTTAGAACTACATACTAGATAAACAGTACCATGTGAAAGTACTGCTGAGGAGGTTTCATTTGAATGTTAACACCATAGGATTTCATCCACAGACTCAAAAGTGAGAGAGGCAAATAATCTCGTTGTGAAGTGTTGTATATATAAAAGACTTGAAAGCATCAAAAGGGCTGAAGGAAACAATACTATGACGTGTTTGCAGTTACAACTGTGGAGCGAATTGATAGAAGTTAACCAAAATACCAACAATTCTAGTCGCAATTAGCTGAGGCGCTACTTAAATAATAAGATACGCTTCTTTGCTCGTGTACACGTGTTGCTTCCTCCCCCCCTCCTGGTTACGCCAGTGTTGGTTTCACAGCAGTCTTTATGATGTACTCGAAAAGCTTTCGTAGTAGTCATGTGAATCTTGTTTACACCAGAGCTCATTAGCTATGGACCTATTGAGCTCTACTCAGTATAAAGTATGATGAAAACACTTTAATAATCAATTTTATGTGTTAAACCTGATCTTTACAATGCCATGTAGTTTTAAGGTCATTCGTAAATCGTTTTAATTGCACATTTGTCTGCCGAGATCTGAGGTGCTCTTGTTCCACAGAAAAGATCGCCTATTATGAGCCTATAGTGTGGGCTCGCTTCCGCAGACTCGGTTCATGGTCCGTATAACAATTTGACAAGATTATGTGTGTGTCAATTGAAATGTTGGTAAAATCTGCCTCATTTACGATGGGGAAAACCATTATTGGTTTTATACATAATTATAGCCAACTGTATTAGTCTTTTGTTTTCTATTATTTCCCAGCCAGGTTCAACCATCACAACGAACCTCTTAATTAGAAAATTGACAATTTTAGAAGCCTTATTTTGCAGCTTTTTCTGGCTTTTAAATCTTTTCGCAATCAACGCTGAAGAGCATAGAGGTGAAGAAAGTTCTGTTCGTGATTCTAACCTGTTTCACAACCCCCAATTACTTGCCCGCCAAGAGGGCGTGGTTTTCGGAATACGACAGTCTTAATTTATGTTATAGGGAACCATAGGAGAAGTTAAACGCATGTATGTTTTGTAAGCGAGTGAGAGATACGATTTGATTTGATGAACGCGAACGTGGCTTACATCTTCCGTTTACAACGGAGTAATGGGCCCCCGAATGAGTGCAGCTTGAGGAAGCCAGCTCTGTAAAGGGTGTAGACCATAAAACTTATGCTTGAAAACAGTTATAACGAAACGTTCGTGATACTTTGATTTGAAAGGCTGGGAGGCACAGCCTCATAACAAT